TTTAGGCACGTTGACCTTATCCAGTCAACGACAAATGTTGACTTCATGTCAGAACCTGCTTTAGACCTAAAAGTTGACTTGGTCAAAGACCTAAAAGGTGACCTAAAAAAGTGCCACGTAGACTTTCCTTGATCATATAGAAACGAGGAATATCTTATCGCTTCACCCGTATGGTATGCCCTCCCTGGCATGGCCGGAAGCAAAAAACCAAAATGGCGTGCTACTTGCTCTTGGTTGCGTGACACACCAAAAATAAAAAATAAAAAAAGGCCTGGTTTGAGAGATTGAGATTTTGATAACGTCCTTCCATGCAGTGGATTTTTATATTGTTTTCCGGGGAAGGGAAAATAAAGCTGCTAGTCTCTTTTGTCGTGGCCTTTCCCAAATCACTGTGATGTTTTGGCCCTCCTCGAGAGAGGTGATCATGCCATTGTTATCTAATGTATCTCAAGATTTTTCGCGAAAACAATGGTTTTGATATGAACAAGATGAGTAACAAAGATCGCATCTGGAAGCACTGACATATAAATGTAGGAGACGAAAGGTACCAAACAGAGGCCATGCCTAGTTTAGCTAAAATGTGTCATAGTTTGTTAGAAGAGAGAATGTGTATAGCTAGTTAGCGAAGTATGGCGGGCCTGGCTTCTCCCAGCTTTTAAAATCAATGCTCTCATGGAATGGAGTGAAGTGGAGTGGAGAGCTTTATTTTAGGTCGTAGGAGGAGGAGGAGCTAGGAGAGAGCGCTAGAGAAGAGGCGAATCATCGATGGAAGCCTTGAGCAAAAATGGTGGCCGGATGAATGAAGGAGCGCAGCAGCGCGGCGGCATCGACATGTTAGGAATCCCGCGGCCGCAGCTCCCGCGCGACGCCAGGGGATCGCTGGAGGTGTTCCAGCCGCAGCAGCAAAGATCGGGCGAGAGGGATGCTGGCATCGCCATCGGCGTGGCGGATTCTCGAAATTTCGGCCGAAGCGGTCGCTATGGCGCCCAAGAACAGCAGGTTTTCGGCGGGAGGTCTGTGGAGAGCACGCTGGATTTGGCGACGACGAATGCCGGGTGGAGGAGATCGCCGTCTGGCTCGGGTTCCAAGAGTCCAGTTTGCGGCCATTTCCAAGGGGATTTTTCCTCCATCGCCAAGCCGCAGAACGATCGCGCTGCCGCCGAGCGTGCGGCGGAATGGGGGCTGGTTCTCAAGGCCGATGTCGGCTCCGGCAAGATCCAAGGCGTGGGGGTCCGGAATAACTCCGGGGACTCCAAAACTAGCGGGAGAAACTCTGGGAGGAGGACTTCGGAGGAGTCTTCCTCGGATGCTGGCAGCGAGGCCGCGCTTGGGGGTCGGCCTCACATTCCGAGAGTCTCGGAAGATTTGAAGGACGCGCTCTCATCGTTCCAGCAGACGTTCGTAGTGTGCGATGCGACCGACCCGGAGCTTCCAATTCTCTATGCGAGCGCTGGTTTTTTCAGCATGACGGGATACACTGCCAAGGAAGTGATCGGCCGAAACTGGTGTGGAAGTGCTACTTGTTGGTTTGATCTCACGTTTTTTTTGGTTTTCCAGTCGATTCTTGCAAGGTACCGAGACGGATCCAGCGGATGTTTCCAAAATCCGAGTGGCTTTGGAGCAAGGGAAGAGCTTCTGTGGACGGCTGCTAAACTACAAGAAGAATGGAACGCCATTTTGGAATCTCTTGACAATAGCTCCAATCAAAGACGAAGATGGCAAGGTTCTTAAGTACATCGGGTCAGTTTTCCTCTATTTTCCAATTCATTCCATACTCAGATTGAGTTTCACGTGTAGGATGCTGGTTGAGGTGAGCCAGTTTACAGAGGGATCTAAAGACAAAGCTGTTCGTCCGAATGGAATGCCAGAGTCTCTGATCAAGTACGATGGTGAGTTATCTTATATGTTCCAGCTTCATAAATATGGTTTTGTATAAAAAGATTTTTGCTGTCGCTGTTGATGTTCAAAAGCTCGACAGAAAGACAGCGTCGTGAGCTCGGTGTCTGAGCTCGTGGAGGTTTTCTCGACGTCGAAGACAGACCAATCCAACGACCACGATCGACGAGCTAGTGCTGGCAAGCTTACAGATGTTCCTGAGGCTAGTCCCGTGAAGGCGAGCAAGAGAACTCGCAGGTCATCCAGCTTACTGTCCTTTTTGAGGTAAATTTCGTTTATTTTTTCCTGCTAGAGATACCGACTGAGTAGATGATGCCAGGCGACATGTGAGGGCTTCGGCTGAGATCGATCAATTGACGCTGAAGACTGCCGACAATGTCGACGACTTTCCTGAGGACTTTCAGAGAAAGAAGGAAATTCGAAGAGGCATCGACCTGGCAACCACATTGGAGCGTATCGAAAAGAACTTTGTCATCACTGATCCCCGTCTCCCCGACAATCCAATCGTAAGATCTCAGCCTGTTTTGCGCCGATTCATATGCAATATTATTACAACCGCAGATTTTTGCATCCGATTCCTTTTTGGAGCTAACGGAGTACAGCCGAGAGGAAATTCTGGGAAAAAACTGCAGGTCAGGATCAATACTTGACAAGAGTGGTAAACTTTTGATTGAAAAATTACAGATTCTTACAAGGACCCGATACGAATCAGGAGACGGTGACTAGAATTCGGTATGCCATTCGGGATCAGAGAAGCATCACTGTTCAACTTCTAAACTACACCAAACGGGGTATGCACCCTCTGTTCGTGAACGCTTCTCCTAATGTTCTTGTCAATTTAACAGGGAAGCCTTTCTGGAATTTATTTCACTTGCAACCCATGAGAGACAACAAGGTGCCCTTGTTTCTGCTGCAAACCATGTAGATAAGCTAATCTTGTATATGCATGCAGGGAGAGTTGCAGTACTTTATAGGAGTTCAGCTGGATGGAAGCCAGCATTTTGACAAAGTTCGCAAGGGGCTTCCTGACAAGGTCGAGCACGAGGGCGTTCAAGTGGTAAGTGCCATATCACAAGCAGGATATTTTGTTCAGCGATCTTATGCTGCTGGTTTAGATCCAATCTGCAGCTGGCAACGTGGATACTGCAGTTCGTGAACTCCCAGATGCAAATCAGGTAAAGCTAGATAGAAGAATGATCACCAAGCTCTCATGTTCTGCTTAACGCTGTGTGTAGAATGTCTTTGAGATTTGGAGGAATTACTCAAAAAAAGTGTGTCCCAAGCCTCACAAGGTTCACAGTACTTCCTGGGCAGCCATAAACAAGGTGGAAGCTGTTCAATGAAACACTGACATTAATTTGCTTTTGACAGGTTGTAAAAAAAGATGGACTCTTGAACTTACAGCATTTTCGGCCAGTCAAAGCTCTTGGTTCTGGTGATACCGGAGGGTGAGTACTGTTTTAAACTGAATGTGCCAGCTTAATTTCTGTTTGGGGTTTGTAGTGTTCATTTAGTGGAGCTACGAGAAACCGGCCAATTTTTTGCTATGAAAGCAATGGAGAAGTCGATTATGCTCAATCGAAACAAGGTAAATTAACTATCGACAGAATATATCAACTCCTGCTGTGAAATAGGTTCATAGAACACTCATGGAACGAGACATTTTGGACATGATGGATCACCCTTTTCTTCCAACTCTCTATGGATCGTTTGAGGTACACTTTAGATTTTAACATGATCATATAGTAAAATAATTCTGAAGTGTAGACTGAGGCACATGTATGCTTGATCACGGATTTCTGTCCAGGAGGCGAACTCTTTCTTCTTCTAGACAGGCAACCGTCAAAAACATTCAACGAGCCTACTGTTTGGTAACGATCTCTTGTTACTTTCCCATCTATTTGGAATTGCTTGAAGCTAACACGCAACTTTGTCAAGTTTCTATGCAGCTGAAGTGGTTGTTGCTCTTGAGTATCTTCATTGCAGAGGTAACTTAGTTCTGTGCAGCTGACAAAAAAATTCAATCTCATGGCCAGGTGTTGTTTACCGAGACCTTAAACCAGAGAACATACTTGTTCAAAGAAATGGCCATCTTTTGCTCACCGATTTCGATCTCTCATTTGTGAGCAACCCGAGAGCTCAGGTGACTTCTACCAAATTATGTTCTGAACTAAACTTGGATTCTAGTGTCAGGTTATAAGACCACCCCCGCCTGCCTCTGAACGACGGAAGAGAAAGAAAGAAGCACCAGTTCCCCCTACGTTTGTCGCGGAGCCTGTTGCAAGATCAAATTCTTTCGTTGGCACGGAGGAATACATTGCTCCTGTAAGCAGATTTTTGAAAGTTGAGAAGTTTGTCATTTTTCTTTCTTTCTGTTTTGCAGGAAGTGATAAATGGTTCGGGCCACAGCAGTGCCGTGGATTGGTGGGCTCTTGGTAAGCCGACTGTCTCGCATAAAGCTCAAGCTTAACTCCTTCTCAGGAATTCTCTTGTATGAGATGCTCGTGGGATGGACTCCGTTCCGGGGTAAAAACAGACAGAAAACTTTTCACAACATTCTCCACAAAGAATTAAAATTTCCTAGCACTGTCCAGGTGACAATTTTCTTATCCTTTTATTTATATATTCTGATGGCATTGATGTCAACCAGGTTAGTCCTTCAGCAAAAGAACTAATCCATCGACTGCTGCAAAAGGACCCTTCGCAAAGGCTGGGCTCTTCAATGGGAGCGAACGAGATCAAACATCATCCTTTCTTCACTGGGGTGCGCTGGCCCCTTATTCGTTGCAAGGTAGCTAGTTCGGATTAAAGACTTTTCCTTACCCGGTTTACTGCAGAGCTGTCCGCGACTAGATGCTCCACTTACACTGACCGACGACTTTGTCAAAGGAACGTCTACGACAGACGCATTTGCTGTGTTTTAGATCATAACTTGTCGGTATGTCCTCTAACGAAAACGTCTGTGCATTAGATGCCACCTGCACGGAGAAGTTGTATGATAACAGTAGAGAGCCAATACGGTAATCTGCAATCGTTCTTCTTATTCTCCAGTTAAAAATTGAGGCTAAGTGGCAGGCACCATAGTGGGTTTGTCATGATGCGGTGTTGGTAGTGCTCGATGTAACATTTCCTAAAGCCAGGTTTGTGCTGTTCATCATATCGTTCTTCCTATAAGTGTGTCTAACTCGGTCCAACATTCAGAGATAACGATGCTTCTTGCACGAGGCTTGTGCGTTTTAACAATCGCTCTTGTAGTTCTATGCGACGAGGGCCCTGCATTGAATTATTCTTACTATGCTAAGACATGTCCCCGGGCTGAATCCATTGTCAGCTCCAGCATCAGAACGTTTTTAAGGCGGGACAGGAGTGAAGTCGCGGGGCTGCTGCGAATAATTTTCCACGACTGTTTCGTTCAGGCAAGTTATTTGTTTGGTTTTCAAGTTGATTCAGGTAAATGCAAAAATCTTGCAGGGATGTGACGCGTCTGTTCTTCTCGTGGGCCTCAACGGCAAAGAGTCCGAGCAGCAGGCAGTTCCAAATCTAACTCTACGCCCAAAATCCTTGCAAGCGATCACCGACATCAAGGCACGTCTAGAAAAGGCTTGCCCCGGCACTGTCTCGTGCGCAGATATAATCGCATTAGCCACCCGAGACGCTGTCAACCTGGTAAGCTTTCCAACGTCCTTGTTTATGCTCTTGGCTTGTAATTTCCTCTACTTAGGCTGGCGGCCCCTGGTTCCCTCTCCCCACCGGTCGCAAAGACAGCAAAAGCTTTGCAAGTGTGCAGGAGACCCTCAACAACTTGCCTCCACCGTCTTTCAACGCCTCTGAGCTGCTGGAGAGCTTCCAAAGCAAGGGGTTGAACGCTACTGATCTCGTCGCTCTGTCAGGTAAGTTTGCTCGAGAGTTTAAAAGAGCCACTCTAATGCATTGAATCCAAACAGGTGCTCACACGGTCGGCAAAGCCCACTGCCCGACGTTCTCCGGCCGCTTGCGTCCATCGCTGGACCCCGACTTGGACATAAATTTCGCCCAAAAGCTGGCGGCGACTTGCCGGGAAGGCGACGACGACTTCGCGACCTCAAACTCCACGGATCTCGACAGCTCCACTCCAAACCGATTCGACAACGCGTACTACAGGAACCTGTTGAGGAAGAAGGGGCTTCTCACCTCGGACCAGCAGCTGTTCGTGGACAATCGCACGAGCAGCCTGGTGGAAGCGTTCGCGTGCAGCCAGCGCTCCTTCTTCTCGCAGTTTGCGGCGTCGTTCGTCAAGCTCAGCAAGATCCAAGTGCTCACTGGGAGCGAGGGGGAGGTCCGGATCAATTGCTCCGTTGCCAATCCATCGCGAATGCTCTACGATGCTTGAAATCTACATTAAATTTTTGGTGGTGTATAGTTTTGGTGTATTTTTCAATGTATGTTTTTGATTGACAGTGATTTTGTTTAAAGGTACTTTGATATATGGTGCGAAGAATGAGAATGCCAAAAAAAAGAGGGGATTTTTCATTCATTGATTCATATTATAAGCTTTTTCACTTTTAGTGGAGAGAGGTGGTGAAGGAAACAGTCTCCAGAGGGCTTCCGCAGTGGTACTGCCGGATGATATCGGCCAAAGAGAGAACAAGGCGGCTGTCCATGGGCTTCACCAAGGGATTTCTTTGCGGGACGAGCACGAAATCATACGTGTGGTTCCTCGCGCTCGAAGGACTCGGGTATGGGATGTTGTGGCTGGTGTTGGAAGGAGCAACGTAAGGCTCGAGAATGCTGGCCGTCACAGCTCCTGTGCAAAGCAGATTCAACATAGATCATGGAAGAACGTTCAAGAACTTACCAGAGCTGCCGGCTGGAATGTTCGCAATCCAATAGTTGATGTAAGGATAGACCTTGGAGGGAGCTACCAGTGCTCGTTGGTCCGCCATCACCACCGAAAAGAGACGAGCGGTGCCATTCCCGCGGAAGCCTTGAATATCAATTGTGGGAGGTGAGTCAGTGCTGCTCAAGGGGATAAAATTGCCATTCGCCACAGTCATAGAGCCATACTGGACGAAAAGACCCACGGCGACATCCGCAAACAAACAGCACACAAGAGCAAAAGACGCCACGAAAGATGCCATTGGAATTTGATGTACCTACAAGGATGGATCGCCCATCGTTTTTATACAATGCCATAATCTAAATTCGTGCCAGATTTCTAATAAAGGTTATAATCTTTGCAACTAAAATATCATTTCGAATTATTTATTTCCAACGGCTCTCATTCTTTTAGATTAATTGTGTCAATGTGAAACATCTTTTCACTCTTAAGTATTGCATTTTCATTGTAAGTATATTTGAAGCACTTTCACTCTAGATCTTCATCATATTTTATTGATGTTTCAGGCAAGTGTCTAGACTGAATCTCCACAAGTGTCCTGCAAGCTATCCGTGCCCAAGTAGCTCTCCCCCTCAAAGTAATCCTCGTGCCCTCCACCAAAAGTGTCCCTCCTCTTCGTCTTCTCGTCCAAGACCCTCCATCGTTCGTACCAATCCCCTCCATGAAATCCCAAAACTCGCCTTTGATTCCTCCTACACTTCACATCTTTCCCAAGCTGGTTCATCCCTTCGTCCGTGACATCCTTGCAAACGTTCCATGACTTGCAAGTTATATCCTCCCAAGTACTCACGTCAATGGGCTTCTTGTCCAACACACATTTGTTAGTTCCAAAAACCGCTCACACTTTCCATCACCTTTCCTAAACCCTAAACTTTCATGCACAAAAGGAGTGATTATTTCATTATTTTACCACACATACTGATCTTCGTTATTTACCATATATACAACATCTTTCTATGCTTCTAAAGCTGGTACGTCAAACAGGACGTGCATGGCCATGGCGGAGCTCAAGGTGAGCATCACCAGCATTCTTCCAGCCACGTCTTTGCAGGCTTCGCTAACCCATGCCCAGAATCTGGCAAGTCGCCCAGGTTTGCGCGTGATGTCGCCGCTCGGGTTCTCTCGTCCGCCATGGTCCTCCACCACCTCCGCCAAGTTGTAGCTCCTGGCGTCTCTCTCGCGCCTCGTGAGGCCCCGGAGCTGGAGGTTTCCCCGGAGATATGGCGAGAGGACTCCCAGGAACACGTCGAAGAAGGAATGGATCGCCTCCGACGTTACCGTCCCGGCGACGTCGATCAGGAGGTTCCTGTTGCTGGGAACCGCCAGCGTCCTGGAGATCCCGTCCACCCAGTTTGGCAGCACGTTGATCCTGGAGCTCCCGTGACTGCTCGTCACGAGTATCATGTTGGCCTGGCCTTCCAGTTCCTCCAAGGAGCTCGGAGCTGTTGTCTTGTAAGTTTTCCCGGAGGCTGCCAGGGAATCGCTCTCGCTAGCCGCTCCAAGGCCGTCATTGAAACAATCCACTGTCTTGACAAGCTCCTTCACAACCTCTTTCTTGAGATGCTCTTGGGCGCCGGCTTCTCCTGACCCGGACCTGGGAGGACTGGAGCTCAAAACTTCGTGCGAGGTTCTCACGAAGGTCTCCACTGCGCTGCTGCAAACTGAGCTAAAGAGATCCTTCACAGCAGCCTGGTGGCTCGGCTTGGTCACCCCAGCCACCACCTCTTCGTAAAAGTTCACGTCCTTGGTCTTCTCCAGGAAAACCGTCACGGCCGTGCCAACAAAAGCCTCGATGCAAGCCGCGACGAAGGACCTTCCTCGGTTGCTGGAGCACAGGTCGAGCAAAGTATCCGACGCTTCAAATGGAATTGGCCGTTCTAATCCCTGTTCCGGAGGACAAACATCTGGAGCCAATCCTCTCGAGTCCCAGTCACTTCCCCTCGATCGGTTGTGCTGAATCTGTAAGCCTTCCAGCATAGAGAGAATCGTGTTTCTAGCCACTGAGCCGAGAACCGCCGAAGCAAATCCCTTGCCAGGATCGCTGAAGATTTTCTGGAGTACCCTCTCGGGGAGCCGCTCTTCTTGCTTGAGACTGGAACACTCCATGCTGCTATCGCATTCCTCACCACCATTCTGGAACTTTGCATTTCCATCCCTGGACCGGCTACCTTTCTCGTGGCTTTGTCGTTCATTCCTTCTTCTAGAAACAGAGAATTCATCACTACCGGCATCCGCTATGCTTCTAACCAGCCCCCTTGAAACGCAGGAAGAAAAGGCCGTGAGAGCGTCCTGGAATTCTCTACAATTGGCGATCTTGAGGCCCTGTTTGAGGCTCCGGGGGACCTCGTCGTCGTCCGAGAGGAGGAAATTTCTAAGATCGCCAGCCACGAGCGAGGTGGAGTCGATTCCCATGGCAAACATCTCGATCATTTGCACAAGACTGTCGATCAGCGATGCCACTCTCCTCCTCTTGCGCGTGACGAAGGACGATTTGTATACCTTGTAGGACGCGTAGCCGCCGACCCCGGCGGCGGCAGCGAGAAGGAGGATTCTCTTGCGGCGCCTGGCGGACAGCGCCATTTCCATGGCTCCGCGAAACCCTAGCCCTCCGCCCTAGGTGTGGAAAAGAAAAAGTTTTAAAAGGCTCTCAAGGGGGAAAGGAATATCCTGTTCTAGAGGGAAAAGAGTGGCGCCATGTTGAGAAGAGGCGCTGCTAGGTTTCGATCGGGAGCGCCGGCGATCGCTGCCCGAGCGCTCCTTTCTCAGCGATTCAGCGGCGCTTCCTTCTGTAGCTCCAGTGCTGCGATCGATCAAGGGGTAAGAAGAGATTTTGGTGTCTAGGTCGTGAATCGCCTTGATTTCTCTGTTTCTTTGTCAGACTGGAAGCTCCCAATCAAGCAGCGAGCCCTATGATGTGGTGATCGTCGGCGGGGGAATGGTCGGAGCGGCTGTGGCTTGTGGCCTAGGTGAGGTTTTTTTTCTCCACTCCTGGATTTACTTTGCGTGGAAATTTCTTTCAGTGAGCTCTCCACTGACGAGATCACTTAAGATCGCTGTGATCGATGGAAGTCCTATATCGTTTGATAAGGTGAAGAAGAGCGATATCCCAGACCCTCGCGTCAGCTCCATCACTCCCGCGACTGTCTCTTTTTGCAAAGGTTAGATTTTTTCCTTCGCTACATGTCTTGGAATAACTTTGCTTTTTAGATATCGGTACATGGGATGATTTGAAGTCGAAGGTGGCTCCATTCGACTCAATGCAGGTATTTCTCTTTGTCCTGCCTTTGAATTTTCGTTTGGTTTTGTGTTGAATTCGTTGCTTTCTCAGGTCTGGGATTATGCTGGCCTGGGTTATACACGCTACAACGCAGCTGACGTTGATGAGCCTGTTCTCGGGTATGCCATTTTCTTTTCGTTGTCGTTTGAAGTGAAACTTTAACCCTTCGGTATTCATGCGCAACAGATATGTTGTGGAAAATGGCATTCTCGTTTCCTCTCTTCGTGCGCGATTACAGGTTTCTTTAACGTAAAGCTCCATCACTTATGGACAGTGTTTCTTTTTCTTTTGTTTTCATCAGGGTTCAGACGTTGATCTGTTATGTCCAACGCAAGTTGATTCTGTGATCTTTCCACATCGAGTAGGCGGTTTGCCGGAAGAAGAGGGATCCAACTGGGCTCATGTAAATCTCAAAGATGGCCGTTCGATCGCAACGCGGCTTGTGGTAAGTACTTTGGTTCAGGAAAAAGAAAGACACGATCTCGACTTTTTCTTTTCAGGTTGGAGCTGATGGTGGGAAGTCCAAGGTTCGGAAAATGGCTGGCATCAGTACGACTGGGTGGGATTACATGCAAGAGGGCCTGATTTGTACAGTTCGAGTTGATGAGCACCATTCCACGGCATGGCAACGATTTCTACCGACGGGTCCGCTGGCCTTACTTCCAATGAACGACGATTTCAGCAACATAGTTTGGTCTACAACTCCCGAGAAAGCAAAGGAGCTGAAGAGCCTACCCAGCGAAGACTTCGTGAACGCTGTCAACAATGCTCTGACCAAGGACTTCTCTCCACCACCCAAGTCGGGATTCGCAGAGGTTTTGACGAACAGGTTCCTGTCGCCGTATTTTGGAAACTTAGCGCCGTCAGCCACAGAAGAGTTCCAGTTCCCGGTGAAGGTGAAATCAGTGGAGACGGACAGGCTTTCGTTCCCGCTCTCGCTCTCTCACGCTCGAAGCTACGCTGCTCCCCGCGTGGTTCTCGTCGGTGATGCGGCACACACCGTCCATCCTCTTGCTGGACAGGGCGTCAACCTTGGATTTGGAGACGCTGCTGCTCTTATCAAAGTCTTGGAAAAGGGAGTGAGATGTGGTCTTGACGTGGGAGAGGTAAGCGCACCTCTTTAAAAGCTCTTGCCTGTTTTACAACTCACCCTTTTGTTCCAGATCTCGCTTCTCAACGAGTACGAGAACACTCGCAAGTTTGCCAATCTTCCCATGATGGCCGTGCTCGACGGCTTCCAGCGGATTTTCTCCACCGACTCGGGCCCCGTGAACGCTCTTCGAGCTGCGGGATTTAACTTGGTGCAATCCTTTGGTCCCTTGAAGAAGCTCGTCATCTCGTCGGCTATGAGCAACGGCTTTAGTGGGCTTCCCGGGCTTCTTCGCATCTAGTAAACTTCTCAATCCCAAGGACGCTCCTTTTTTTTCGTATTTGGCGGCATATTCACTGAATCTCCTTTCTCTTTTTTCTTTTTTCTGATCTTCGCTAGGTCTCGTAAGCTGATGGCTCTATTCGATGGGAGGGCGACTGCGGTGGAGGTGATGGATGGGATCCGCCTGGATTCCAAGGTCGCCATCGTCACAGGTAGATCCTTTTGATCGTTTTTTTCCGCTGCTACTCGAAGCTCTACAATTTTTCTAGGTGCCAATGGAGGTATTGGATTTGAGACCGTGAGAGCTCTCGCGATCAAAGGCGCCCATGTCATTCTCGCTTGCCGGAATCTAAAGTCCGCGGAGGCTGCAAAAGCTTCCATTTTGAGAGAGGAGCCGGACGTCCAGCTCACTGTTCTTCGCCTGGATCTCAGCTCTCTTGCCTCGGTTCGTGAGTTTGTGGAGGAGTTTAAGTCTCTCAAGCTTCCTTTGCATATCCTCATGTAAGTTTCTTCTCACCTTTTTGTTTTCATAGCTTTTCTATCAGCCCATCTCGTGACGCTGTGGATGATTTCATGAAGCAACAATGCAGGTCTAGCGTCCAGCGAGTTCATGCTCACGGTGGATAACTTGGAAGTCACATTTGCGACAAACCATGTTGGTAAGCTCAAGGTCCACCCTTTCGCGATTTTGCGATGGTGATTTTTTTGGTTTCCAGGACACTTTCTTCTCACGAACTTGCTCCTCGACTTGATGATCAGTACTGCCTTGGAGAGCAACAGTGAGGGGCGGATCGTGATAGTCGCGTCGAGACAACACGAGAGTGCCAGAGGCATCAATTTTGACAGCCTTCACAAGAAAAGCTGGCTGCAGTCCTTGCCGCTCGTAAAGAGGCAATCCAGTCATGTAAGATTCTTTTGGCAGCAAATTCTAACACTTTGCGTCTGGCAGCTACCACGGGTTGTGCTCGGTGTACGCTCAATCCAAGCTCGCCAACGTTTTACACGCGAAGGAGCTCGCACGTCTTCTCAAGGTTTTTTCTACACTAGTCACTTCCTCGTTTCTGGCATAACTCTACGGTGGTGTAGGAACGGGGAGCGAATGTAACAGTGAACTCTTTGCATCCCGGAGTGATTCACACAAACATTGTTCGCAACTTCTTCAAGCCCGCCGAGTGTAAGATCCAGGAGTTTGTTTCGATCTTTTTCTAACTTTCTTTCTTCGTACAGATATGTATAACGCGTTCCCTCGAATGTTTAAAACCATGGAACAGGTACTTCGATCGATTCATTTTTTTCTTTCGGGACCATTCTTTGATGTTCTTCTTTTGTGATTTCCCAGGGAGCAGCGACTACTTGTTATGTGGCGGCTCATCCAGATTTAAATGGCGTCTCCGGGAAATACTTCGTGGATTGCAAAGAAGCTCCTTGTAGCCAATATGCCAACGATCCAGAGCTCGCGGAACATCTCTGGAAGTACAGCGAGGAACTCGTGAGATCCTAGCCGTCGCGCACGAGCATGCGTGTCACCATCTTGAGATGCCATCTGGCAAGCTCATCCACCGCGTCAGCCCTAACTGCTACCACGTGGCCCCGAGCTCCACGTGCTATTTTTTGGATAAGGGCGCCAGGATAAAGTAAGGGGGATATTCCCAGCGCTCTATTTTAACTGTGCTAGGTCGAAAAGGAAAATTCTTGTTCCAGGCAGGGAATCTGGGCTGTGTAGGAGATTCTTTCCCGTAAATTATTGATTCTAGGGTTCTAGGGCGTAGCGAGCGACCGAGCGAGCGATCGAGGTACCGGAGGCGCGATCGATCGATCGATCGGTTCTTTGAGAGCGATTTAGGTCAGCACCGGAATGCCAGAGGAGCTGGGGATCTCGCCGCCGGCGTGGAGCGCAGCTGAGATCAAGCTGTTTGAGTCGGCGCTATCGGTCTCCGCTCACAAATTTGGATCGGGGGAGCCGAATTGGGAGAAATTCCATCTACCGGGCAAGCAGGGGTGGGAGCTCAAGCAGCAGTATGATATGCTCGTCAAGGACGTGGCGGCGATCGAGGCCGGCCTTGTGGCGCCTCCGAATTACATCGAAGCTCCTCCGCAGGGCTCCCCGGATCGCAGCGGCAGCCCCGGCAGGAAAATCCCTGCTTCCATCGTACACAGGACGAGCGATCACCCCCCGCAAGAGCGAAGGAAAGGAATCCCGTGGAGCGAGGACGAGCACAAGTAAGTCGATTGGAGCTGCGGTTTCCGATCGATCGATCGATCATCGTGCTTACATTTTTCCACTTGTGTGATCTATAGGCTGTTCTTGATCGGCCTGGAGAAGTATGGCAAGGGAGACTGGCGAAGTATCTCCAGGAAAGTAGTGATCACAAGAACACCTACGCAGGTGGCGAGCCACGCGCAAAAGTATTTCAATCGCCTAGCGTCCAAGAACAAGGACAAGAGGAGGAACAGCATTCACGACATTACGTCCGTGTCGCCTCCGCCGTTGATTTCGCCCCACCACCGTCCGATGCACCACTGATTTTTTTTGTTTTTTTCTGGTTTTGCCCTTATTTTGTCCTGTAGACCTTGCGTCTATACTGTACATTGTATGAAGGAATTTTTGGAGCTTTCTCAAAACTGTTATTCGCTTTTGTTCTTCTTTTGGCTGTTTAAATTTATTTTTTAATATATATATGTGTATATATATAAATATATGTATATATATAAACTTTGCATTATTGTTTATAGCTTTAGTAACCTTTAATGAGTGATACAAGCACAACACGGGGCGGTTCACCGGGCAACCTGCAATGCATCACTGACAAGTTGTCAACGATCACAACGTCACCTTTTTGCCAGTCCAACACGACTTGTTCCTCTTGCAGCACCGTAGCTATCTTGTCAAGTTCTTCCACCGGGATGGGTGATCCGTCTCCAAACGCAACTCCGCGAGTGACAGGGTCGTCTTGGACAAGGCAAATGCTGTTGAACCAAGCCATGGAGCCTTTGACCGGGTGCTTGACTGTCGCAGAGAAAGGCCCTCGATAAGCAACCGGCTCGTCATGATCGGATCCATCGGCTTTCCATTCCAGTCGAGCTCCAATCGCTTCAGCTCTATCAAAGGAATCGGAAAGTTACACACTAGCTCCCTCTCGGTATACCTCTTTTGCGCAATGGCTTTGTCCGTGGTCTGGAACGCTTCCTCCCACTTTTTTGGAAGTCCGGTGCGGTAGCAAATTCGCTTCTCCTGCAAGAGATTGAAGATCTCGGGCATCTCTTTTGCGAGCCTCTGGTACACGAGCTCGCCGTTGACGAGAGCTGTTCCTCCCCCTCTCGGCGATGGCTGCTCGCAAAAGAACATGATCACGTCCGGATAGACAGTGAGCTGTTCATGGAGAAACTCGAGCAAAATCAAGGAGTCGGATCTTTGAGAAGGCAAATAACTTACATAGGCCATCTCGTTGTGGAAGGAGATTCGCTTGTCCACGGGGTCTTCGTTGGCCGTGAACACGGGACCAAGGATGTGCTTCCTTGCACCCCCGCCGTGCTTGTAGTCCATGCTGGTGTAGCCCAGCGCCTCCACGACGCTCGCAAAATCCTGGGCATTTGCCAGCTTCCATCCCCGGAGGAGAAGTGCGCCGTGCTCCACCACTTTTCCCCGGATCGAAGCCCTCTTTTCGCGAATCAGATGCAAGAGGCTGTGCAGGGAATCGTCGCTGCCATTGTCTGGGACGAGAAGCGCTGGGAATTCATCCATTAGAGAGCCCTTGAGGAGTGGATCAAATTTCATTTGACCTTTATAGTCTACAGTTGACTTAAGATTGACTTGGACCACAAGTTACACAAACTTTTTTGGGGCTCAAAACGTGCAATTTTTCACAAAGAAAAGTTGAAGAGTACTCCACATTTTGCGAAGCTTTTTTTTTTTGGGCCCAAAACATGTGATCTACGTGAAATGTCAAGGAGGTACCCCACATTTAACGCGCCACTTTTTAGGGAAGATCTCATAAAAGACAAAAGAAACAAAGAAGTATTGAACAGTGAGTTTTAATAAAGCACACCTCCTTTCTCTTTCACCTTTGACGCGAGCATATATAGTTTGACATCAACACATAGCTTCCAGAGCTTGTGTCCACCACTCCCAGTCCCTCCAATCTTTGCAGCGTTTGGAAACAAGTTTTTCCAATAGCATCGTTCTTCCATTTGCAGCACGCATCCAGCAAACAAATCCACAAAGGTACAACGTTTTCTCTGTCCCCGAGCTCCAGCACCATAGCCAGTGCCTCCTCCAACTTATTCGCCTGCCCAAGCAAATCCACCATCACTCCATAGTGTTTGATACTTGGTTTCAATCCATACAGCGTCACCATCCTCTCAAAGTAGCTCTTTCCTTCCGTGACGAGACCAGCGTGATTGCAAGCGGAGAGAACACTCAAGAAAGTTATCTCGTTTGGTTCCAGCAGCTCCTGTTCTTCCAAACTCTTTAGTAAATTAAATGCACTGGCGGCATCTCCCTGGCGACTGTATCCATCCAGCATCGAGTTCCAAGTGATCAAGTCCTTCTCCTCGTCCCCAACAAGGGAAAATCTTTCTTCTGCCTCAGCAATGCTTCCACATTTGCCGTAGAAATCGATGATTGAGTTCACCACCATCAAGTTCTTGTGAAGTCCAGCGTTTCGGACCTCGGCCTCGATCTTCCTACCAGTTTCAAGAGCTCCATAGTTTCCACAGGCCTTGAGAACTGCCGTGAAAGTTGTGGCATCAGATGATACTCCGGAAGCTCGCATTCTCGAGTAGAGATCGAGAGCTTTCTCGGCATCACCACCCTCCGCATAGCCTCGGATGATCGAAGTCCATGCCACCACATTTGGATTGGAAATCTTTTCAAAAACTTGGCAAGCGTTCGCCAGGCTTCCACACTTGACGTAAGTATCCACTAAGCTACTCGCTACAAAAACATGTTCTTCCAATCCATATCGTCTCGCATCCAAATGAAACTCTCCAGCTTTCTCCAAACACATATTTTTATCCACGAGAGATTGGTTTGCGTACAAGGCAGCACAGGCCTTTAGAGCAGCCAAGATAGTCACTGGATTTGGAGGAATTCCTTCTTCGTCGCGCATTCTATAGTAGAGCTTCAGAGCCATTTCTTCTTGTCCACACTCGGCATAACCCGTGATCATACAGTTCCAGGACACTAGATCTCGCTGTCTCATATTTTCAAACACTTTGCGAGAGTCTTCCATATCCCCAAACTTTGCGTATGTTTCTACAAGCCGGCTAGCGACAAAAACATTGCATTCCAGTCCATCCTTCCAAGCTTCACGATGGATTTCTCTCACTTTTGATTGTAGCTTGTCAGTTTCCAACTTATGGCATTCTTTGAGCTTGGAACTTAGCTCGTGATCTTTCTCATGTTCTTTGCTTAAACTCTCAGCTAGACTCACACAAGCCTTGAGCACGGCAAGGTAAGTGATAGCATCTGGTTTCCATCCCTCGTTTCTCATCATCTCAAAGATCTTCAATCCCATTTTGCCCTCTTTACATTCACCATAGCCTGCTATAAGACAATTCCAAGAGACTGTGTCTTTGTCTACCATACAATCAAAAACTTGCTGGGCGCCCAGCATGTCCCCACACTTGGCATAAAAATCCAGCACACAATTCCCCATAACAATGTTAGATTCAATCCCATTCCTCACAACTCTTGCTAGAACAACTTGTTTGCCATGTTGAACCTTTGCCACCTCATTATTAGCTTCTGCCAGTGCATGCAATACTGCTGAAAATGTGATTGTGTCAGCTTGAATCCCCTTGTCAAGCATTCGAGAGAAAAACTCAATCGTTCTACCTGTGTCACCTTTCTGGGCATACCCTGATATCATCCCTGTCCAAGACACCAAGTCCGGAGTCATTATTTTCTCAAACACACCATTAGCTTCTTCCATGCTTCCACACCTTGCATACATTTCCACCAGCGAGCTCGCTACAAAGGGATGATTTCCATGGCCATGTTTGAGAGCTTGAGAGTGGATCGATCGCCCCTTTCTCAAAACATCTCTAATCTTCTCTTGTTGATTTTCCATTTGATCTTTCCTTGTTACTAGAACATTCACACAAGCTTTGAGAGCAGCAACAAATGTAACATTGTTTGGATAGCATTCACTCGATTGCATCTCGTCAAAGAGATCCAAAGCAAGTTCACCATGGCCAAGCTCTGCGTACCCCTGGATCATTGCTGTCCATGAAACAACCGTGCGCTGCGTGATCCTGTCAAAAACTCGTCGAGCATCGCTCAAGCTCCCACATTTTGCATACATATCCACCAAAGAGTTTGCCACGAAAATGTGTGTATCATCACCACTGGCTGCTGCTTGGGCATGTAGATCTCGCCCTCGTTTCAAGCTCTGTGCTTTCACAAGCTGCGCACCAACAAGAGTTTTCTTCTCCTTGTCTGCAAGAGCAATGCAAGCACGTAGGGCAGCAAGATACGTCACGAAATTTGCTGGAATTCTGGCTTCTTCCCTCAGCTGCGAGAAGAGCTCTAAGCCAAGCTCGCCATTTTGATTCTCGGCACAAGCTTTGATGATACAATTCCAAAGGACGATTGATCTACGCTCTCGGACACTCTGGAAAACTCTGGTGGCTTCAACCAAGTTTCCACACTTGGAGTACATGTCTATTAACGTGCTTGCAACACGAACATCAAGGCTTCTCTCACCGAACCTGGCTTCTATGCTGTGGATTTTCTTGCCGGATTCTATGTCTTGTGAAATGCTGCAAGCTTTCAATGCGGCCACCACCACTGCAACACTGGGCCGATCTCCTGTTTCCACAATCCTAATATAAGTTCTGAGTGCAGGTGGAGCACCCCTTGATGGTGGGTTTTGCATTTGGACTGCTGGATTAATGTGTGAAATACTACTCTACTCGTTCAACAGGTGACTATTGAGGGTATGTGCTGAAAGCATAGCGATCCAAGATGCCGTGCCTTGCTCCAGCTTGCAATGAATACATTTAAGTCACCTTTTCCACTATCTCATTTTGCAGGATGCTGTAACAAGTGTTTTTCATGAGACAATTTTTTTTCTGGAGCATCATTTGTCCAACTTCCTTTCCTTCAACATAATACCCTTTCTGGGCATTTGCAGAATCATTCCGAATCGAACCTCTCAAATTGTCCTTCTCCCTTCACCTTTGCAATGGCATTACAAACCCTGTGCATATTCTTATGGCAGCCTGAGTTGATCAATACAGGTAATACTGTTCCCTGCTCGGGCACAGTACCTATAATAAGAATAACAGTATCTGAATGCAAACCCATGATTTTTGCGTCGTATGTGCGCAACGTTCAAGTCCCAAATTTGCTGAAGAGCATCAAAAGAGTAAATTTGATGTAACATCAAAAGAGCAAATTCCAAGGATTTGTATATTTTAGTGGAGCGAAGTACAGTCTGGAGAGGGCTTCCACAGTGTACTGCCGAATGATATCAGCTAAAGAGACGACAATGCAGGCTTCACCAAAGGATTCCTCTTGCACAAAATCGTATTGTGATTCCTTGCACTGAGTGGATTCGGGTATGGAATGTTTCTGGAAGGAGCAACATGGGGCTCTAAAATGCTGCCCTTCACTGCTCCTGCAAAGCAAATCCAAAAGTTGATGTAGCGATAAACTTTGTCTGATGCTACTAGTGGTTTTTGATTTGCCATAACCACCCAAAGGAGGCATCCTTCCCAAATCCGTGGGGGTGAGTCAGTGCTGCTTAAGAGAATGAAGTTGCCATTCCCAATGATATTGCACAAGCAAACCTACAAGAAACTTGAGCCCACAAGCAACAGAAACACAAGCAAAACACCATTAAAGTTGCCATTAGCAAATTTGATGAATCAATTGATGTTGCATTTTCTCAGGATTTATACAAAGCAAGATAGCTTAGGATTTATTTCCTGCCACCCAAAATCAAAATCTATTTTCCATTTTCCCCTTTGATCTGATCTCCCCTTTTCACCCTAGAATAAATTCAAATGTCTAGGGTTCCCGCCCTAGGGTTCGCGAATGCAAGGCAGCGCTCCATCGCGGCCCGCCACAGCTGAGGAGGAGGCATGGCTGGATGCTCAAGAGTTTCTGGATCATGCCCACACTCAGTGGCTCTACGCCAGTGACGGAATCGCTACAGCAGCGCAGGTTTTGATCCCCAATGTCCTTTCATTTAGTCTCTATTTCTTCATGCATTCATTAGGATGCCCATGGCTTTGAGGATTATGGCTTTGAGAATTCCGAGGCTTTCGGGATGATGAGAGACGTGCAACAAGCGTAAATCGCCAGGCATCGAATTTACATCTTTCTCAAGTTTTTTGTTTTTCTTTTTTCCAGCTCCGAGTTTCTTGTGAATCGAGAGATTGCAACAAAGGCGTCGTTTCATCGCCTGAGTTCCATGCGGAAGTCTGCACTGAAACTAGTAAGCATAATTGATGAGGCTATCCATACTGTCGTTCAAAACGAACGGTGCGTCTATCGCTACTCTCTAGTTTTTCTTCCTTCTAAAAGCATGCGTGTTCTTCAGGAATGCTGCCCTGGAGAAAATCGAGGCTGTGATGCAAATGAAAAACGAGTGTGAGGAAGTCGCAATAGCCGAGCGAATGCAGCTCCAGTCCGAGGTTGCACTGCTTAAGCAGCAGGGAGAATGCCTGGTAGATCTCCTGGTAAGTTTTTCCTTTTCCATAAACTTCCTAGATCGATATCTCTTCCGAGTCGATCACTTGATGACTGACTTTGTTGATTTTCAGGAACAAGAGAAAGACAAGAGCATTTGTGCAATCTGCTTTACAAGAGTAAGCCCTTCCCATCGATTTCTTTCTTTTTGATTTGCTCGCATTCGCGTTTGCAGCCGAGGAACGTCATCACTTTACCTTGCTGTAAGGAGGAACGCTTTTCCTTTGCTTTCGGTGCTGCAACTTGACTTAGTTCTTTCTTTTCTTTTCGTTTCTTTTCTCTGGTTGTTGTTGCTGCAGTGCACTTCCACTACTGCAACTCGTGCCTCGATCAGCACCAGAGAACAAATCGAACTTGTCCGAGCTGCAGATGCCCGATAAGTGGGACACTGAAATGCAGCTTATAAAATCCATGGCGACGTCTCTCGAAGAAATCCTTGCAGGGATCGCACGAGGAAGAGCGAAAATACTTTAAAAAAACACGAAGAAAGGAGAAAAGGAAAAAAGAGCTTTTTCCACAGCTACAATGTGGAAAACACTACTACAATGTCAATCAATCAATTCGTTCACAAACCTTGAGAAAATAATGATTATAGTAGAGAGTTTTACTTGGAAGAGTGGGGGAGTGGAAGTTATATAAGAAGAACTACTGTTCTAGTTTGTCATGGTCTGGGCATAGAGAAGCTCCACCTATAATCTCCAATGCCTGGGCCGTGGACATAAAAATATTATAAAGAAGAACACAAGGGCACAAGGAAGGTTTTGGGTTTGTGATTTTATGGAAGAAGAATATATGGCAGGGCGACACTGGCAGGGCGGGGCCGCCTGATCTCTCCGCCCCGAAATCCCTCTCGCCGGTGGATGGATCGGATCCCATGGAGTGTAGGCGCAGCTTCCAGCTCGATCAATTCATGTGGCGCCTGGCTTGGATGAGAAATCGGACCTAGGCCGGAGGTATGTCGAATGTAGGTGCCGCCACTGCCGCCGCCACCGCTGGGACTTCTTCCTCGTCCTCGGCTGCTGCCGCCGCTGCCGTCGCCGCTGCCGCTGCCGCTGGAATCGATTCGCGCTTTGATAATCTCCAGCTCATTGGCAAGGGCTCGTTTGGCGACGTCTTCAAGGGGTTAGTTCTCGCTCCTCCTTGCTCGCGTTGCAGATCGATTGCTAGGTTTTGGATCTACCATTCTTGTCTTGGAGCCCTAATTTTCGTGAATTGGTTTTCTTTGCTCGCAGCTTTGACAAGGAGCTCAACAAGGAGGTTGCTATCAAAGTCATTGATCTCGAAGAAGCGTAAGTTCTTTCGTTCTTTCATCATCTTTTTTTTTCCTCTTTCGATCCTCCTCTTTACTTATTTTGTACTATTTCCTGATCGCAGTGAGGATGAAATCGACGAAATCCAAAAGGTAGCTGCTGCATGTTTTCTTTATTTCTTGAAGAACATAAGCTCAAGTTTTGATTTCGCGTCACAGGAAATTTCAGTGCTGTCTCAATGCCGATCACCATACATTACGGAGTATTATGGATCTTTCCTGCATGGAACAAAATTATGGATCGTTATGGAGTACATGGCTGGTGGATCTGTATCGGACTTGGTGAGTTAGGCTGCTGTTTAGTCTAGTGACGAAAGATTGCTTTCTGGATGCAGCTTGAAACGGGAAACCCACTGGATGAGCTCTCTATAGCTTGCATCATTCGGGACCTCCTCCACGCGTTAGATTACTTGCACAGCGAAGGCAAAATCCACCGAGACATAAAGGGTAAAAGTTTGCATAATGGACCTCGTTGGACCTCATTGCAATTTCTGTATAAAATGTTCTGGCAGCTGCAAACATACTCCTTACAGCAAATGGTGATGTGAAGGTAACTGCGTGGTTTAGAAGGTTGTGATTGTACTCATATTTTATAAAACAGGTTGCAGATTTTGGTGTTTCTGCTCAGCTCACACGTACTGTGTCCAAGCGGAAAGTAAGTTTTAAGATACACCTTTTTATAAGGAAGAAGCTAACTCGGTAACGAAATCAGACATTTGTCGGGACACCATTCTGGATGGCACCCGAGGTGATCCAAAATTCAGATGGATATAATGAAAAGGTATGTTATGTTCTAGCAGTACGGCTCATTCATCTGTTTCATTGACAGGCAGATATATGGTCCCTTGGAATAACTACCATCGAAATGGCAAAGGGTGAACCGCCTTTTGCCGATTTACATCCCATGAGAGTTCTTTTTTTGATTCCTAAAAATAATCCGCCACAGGTGCGTCTCTTTCTAAAACGCTTTAGCATTTAATTTTCGGCATATGCAGCTCGAAGATCATTTTTCCCGCCCAATGAAGGAGTTCGTTTCTTTGTGTCTCAAAAAAAATCCAGCAGAGGTAGAAGGTATTGATTTTCCCATTGTTGTTGGTAACAAACTTTTGCTTTGGTACCGCAGAGGGCTAGTGCTAAAGAGCTATTAAAACACCGTTTTGTAAGAAATGCGCGTAAAAGTCCTAGACTGCTCGAACGAATCAGGTTTGTCTTAAAGTTCCTGGTCGACACATGGATGGACTAACCAGCAGTACATATACTGTAGAGAGAGACCTAAAGTTCACATAAGAAAACCTCGATCGGAACACATGTACGAGCAGGACACTGTCGAGAAGCCGAAAGGACTAAAAGCCGCGAAGGATGGAGAGTCTCACCTACTCAGGTTTGCTTCCCGTGTTTTAATTTTCAATTGTCAATGTTATCCTTTCCGCAGTCTGACAAAGGCAATGAGAAATGCTAGCTGGGATTTCGGGACTGGAACGATTCAAGGAATTTCACAAGGCACCGGGACCGTTCGTAGTGGATTAAGAACCCCATTTGGTTTTGACGACCGAGTGGAAAGTTTTGAAGGAGATACGAGCCCACGAATTTCAAGCAGATCTCATGACTGGCACAGAACATCTGTCTCAAGCTCTACCGAGCAGCAAGCAGCAGCTCAAGAACCAGAGACATCCTTGGACAGTCAAGGAGAAGTAAGTACCAACTTTGAATGCTTGCTTGGCTGATGGATGCGTTCCAGCTGTCTAACAATTCCGGAACCATGGTCATCCACCGGTCTCTCAGAGATCGTCCATCATTAGCAGCGTTATCATCACAAGGTTCTCCGTTGGTAATGAGTCTTGTACTTGGTTTTGTGGCATTTGGACTTACGGTTGGACCACGCAGGCATATGATCCTGATGAAGCAAGTGAGTCGAGCTCACCGATATTTGACAGCGGCACTTTTGTGGCCAGAGAAAAATCGAGCGAGTCCACTTCAAATAGCGAGACACCACGATATCAGCCTCAATTGGAACGGAGCGAGTCATCCCTTCAGGAGGACAGCGCGAAGAACCTTGCAGAGGTTAGATATATTCTGTTGGTTGCAAGGCTTATTGATTTTGGAGTATCGGTACCAGGCAAAGGCAGCTTTGCAATCAGGCTCAAGGAAAGGGATGGGACGCGAGAAGCAGTCATCGTCGAAACGGAGAGAAGACCCGGTTGTGACAACGGATCCATCGACAAGTGCCGACCCTGGACGGTAACACGGATGGTTCCTTCGCTTTTGAGCTGGCTTGATAAGCATCGACTTTGCTACAGGAAATCTTCATACTTGGACGTTCCGAAAGTTCGTTTATCTTCAGGCGAAGAAGAGCACGCTCGCACTCTCATCACAGAAGGTTCTCCAGCGCTTTCGTTGCTGCTCATACCGGCTCTGAAAGAGGTCTGGATTTTTATATCTGGGAGAAACTCCGCAGCCTTTTATCTAGATTCCCAGGTTGAATGGTGCGCATGCAGACGGCCGCGGAGCAATCAGAGGGGTCTGCGCTGCGTGCCGCCGCCGATGCGGCGGACGCGCTCATCGATCTGGAACGAATGGCACCCGGAGCCTGTGAAGTTTTAGTGACAAGATTACTCAAGAGACTGGGAAGGTACTTTAAAAACTTTGTTGTTTGCTGGTGGACTTGATGATCTTCGTCTCGTTTGGGTGGCAGTGCTGAGGATCCTTCGGTAAAAACGTTGCAGGATTTAGCTCGCAAAGCTTTGGTAGTAGATCATCCCCAAGGTGCCGGAGACGGGCATTTGCAATCCACCACCCAACAGTTTGATTTTGCGAAATCTGGACAACAGAGAGGGCAGCCAAACTTGGAGTCGTCCGAGAGCTCGGGTTTGAGCCCTCTTGCCAGTTTCTTGCTGTCGAGGTATAGTCTCTCTTGGTTTCCAGGATAGAGTTCTCTGATCCTTCTCTCTTTTTTTTTGGTTTTTTTTGCTCGTAGGTGGCAATCTCAACTTCCGCGTGACATGAACTGTTACAACTAACATGTATATTATGATTCTTCCCGGTTTTTTTTTTTTTCTTCTTTTTTTTTCTGCTTTCTTATTTGAAGCGGTGTTGTAAACAAGGTTTTGAAGTAAACAGGAATGTAGGAATTATAGCTATTCGTATTAGGTTTTAGGGTTTACAGGGATTTAGGGTTTATAGGTGTGTGGAAAATGGAGGAGCGTAGCGAGGGCGCCAGCGCGCTGATCGCCGCCAAGATGCTGCAGGGATGGGCGCTTCTCGGCGAGCATTGTCCGGCGTGTTTGACGCCACTGATGAGGAACAAGTGAGTGATTGCTCTCTCTATTCGACGGTTTAGTAATTTTGGATGCTTCGTCTCTAGGGAGAAGAGGATGTATTGCGTTTCTTGCCAGCAATGGGTAGTGCGTGAGAATGAGACTGCCAAGGTCGACAGGGCTGAGAAGATCGAGAAGATTGAGACTGGTAGCACCGTGGAAGAAGATGGAAGAGATGGGAATTCGAGCACGGCGCCTTGGAGAGATAGAGATCAACCTCCACTTTTGCTTCCAAAGGTAGTCGCAACTCATTTCCATTTTCTCATTCCACTTTTCTTTTGTTTCTTGTAGGTGTCTGAGGAGTATTGGTCACCGGAAGTGATAAGCACTGTGGAAGTGAAAATCATGGTAAGATCAGTATCGAGTCTTGGATCCCATTTGATTTGTATTTTTTTTTGAAAGGAGCTGCGCAAGGCCATCGACGAAACTAGAGATGTTGCGCAACTAAAACTGGTAGGCCAAGTTTCTTGTTTTCTTTTTCAACACAAACGCGCAACCTTTGCTTTTCCTTGGCAGCTCATTGATACTTTAACTTCGTGCTTGACATGCCTGGAGCTTCTCCGGAAAAACTAGCTCTCGAGCGATTCCGGCGTTCCTTTCCTCAGTCTCCGGGCCATGTAAATTTTCACGTACTCTCCGAAGCTCACTGGGCGATACCGGGATGGATGATCCGCGTCGACGAATTCCGGCAGAGGCTTGATCGTCGCCTCCACCGCTGGGTTGAAGAAGCTGGAAATGGAGAGCCTCGCTCTTTCGGGATTAGCCAAGACTCGGTGCTCAAAACTCTTGTAACGCTTGTTGGTTGCGATCTGGAACAAAGGTTATATGGAAACTTCCATTTCGTATCATCTTTTCTTTCTTACCTGCATTTGATCTCCAAAGTTGACGACGAGAGCTCTCCGGTTTGTGTTGATTGGCACCCATGGCGATTCTTCGTTCTTCCTCATTTGCAAGCCGGGCACATCGTCGATCAAAAGGATATTGAGGAGACCTGGAGAACAAAGATACAATGAAGAACGCGAAGGAGAATGAAAAAAAAAGTGAACTTTCACCTTGATCACAGTGGCTGCGAACTCCCAGCACTAGATCCGGCTGGGGGCAAGGGAGGTACCTGTTGAAGAGCAAAAGCTGGTCTAATGGATCGAATTCTCTCTCAAGACGATCGGGACGTAATCCCAGGCTCTCGGACGCAAGCGATATCACCTTGAAGGCCAAAGCTCGGATTTCCTGGCAATACTTCACTGCTGCGCTCCTGAGAAGGAAGAAAGATTGAAGAGAAACGAAGGAAAAGAAGAAGAAGAAACCTGAATGATGGAGGATTGCTTGGCCAAGTTTCGAAAGTTTCTTCACTGAGTGGATGGCACTTCCCGACCACCAGGAAATCCCTCCAGTCCTGGACGCCAGTTTCATCCAAGCGCGTCCCATATCTCGTTCCATTCATCTTTGGCTCGCCACTAAACAGTTCCATCCTTTGCTCCATCGGCTGTCCAAAGAATTCCAGTGCCGCTCGGACAATCCCCTCCATGGTCTCCTCTGAAACGCCATGGTTTGTGACTTGGAAGAATCCCCACTCCCTGGAAGCCCGCTCGATCTCGCCCACTATTCGCTGCCTGCCATGGCTGGATTCCAGATCTAGCAAATCTATCACTGGGATTCTCTCCTCGTCCTGGACCTCACCACTGAATCCATCAGAGAAGCAAACGTAAGCTTCTGGAACTTTGGTCACGCCTTGCTCCACGAGAGTTGGAACCGGAACAGCTTGAGCGTACACCATGTCGGAAAAGGAAACAGAACAAACCTCTATCACACATTCTTTTGATCTTTCTCAGTAGAACTGACCTTTATTATTATGACAAATATCGTGACCTTTTTGGGAAAATTTTTGTGGAGCTTTCTAAACAGAAACCAATGTGAGGGAGAACCCTTTGATACTAGACCGTTTAAATCCCATTCTTCCTTTGGCAGCTCGGTGCTGATGTACGGAGACAGTAAAAAACGTAAGTAAAAGGATTAACTCTAGGCAAACGTACATTGAGAATGTCATCCATTGTCAATTGAGAGTAATCCATCATAAGCGGCTTTGATAACAAAGCACGCTTACGTTCCGTGTAGACACGGTCACGTTGACTATTCAGCACCTCATCGTATTCGAACAGCTGTTTACGGGCTTCAAAATAATAGTTTTCGACTTTTCTTTGAGCCTCGTCCAGCGATTTCGTGAGCATTTTTGACTCGATTGGCAAATCCTTGATTTAGAAAGCTGTCATCAAAACCAAAATAAGAATTTGTCAATATCTACAAAATGACAACTACCTCACCTTTATCTTTTCACCACCAAATATCCGAAATATGGTACCTTCTAGACTCAAGAAAAATCTTGATGTTCCTGGATCACCTTGCCTGCCACTGCGGCCGCTGCCTGTAAGAACCTTCTATGAGTAAAATTTTATGGAGCAAAAACAAATGTGAGGGAGAACCCTATGATAACAGCTAAAAATGAAAATTGCCAAATGCAGTGGACACCCTAAACCCTAAACCCCTAAGTATATTTTAGGTATATTCAATAGCAAATTAAGTAAATTAAAATTTTCATTAATAAAGTTTAGATATCTTATTTTAAATAAATTATTTTTAGTTTTAATTATTTTTAATTTTCTTAAGCAGTGAATATACCTAGAATATGCTTGGAGACTCTAGAATATTTTACCATCTAATGGTTGTTATTCATTTAGATTAATCTTATATTTATAAATTATAAACATGTTTATAATTTATAAACTTTCTTAAATCCTTTCTAATATATTCTTTGTTATTCTATCATCTAATGGTTGATATGCAATAAGATTAATCTTGTGTTTATAAATTACAAACATGCTTATAATTATAAACTTGATTTGATCAATTGGATTAATAAGTATGAATAACACTCTTATTTTGATACAAAATGGTAAAAAATTATTTTTAACACAAATTTTTTTGTCTCACAAATTAAATTTCTCTGATTAAGTTTGCCAAATTATTTTGATCCTTCTCACAATTTCCATTAAGAAAGGTTTTCCTCAGTTTGTTAACATTTCTTCTATAGTATAGCTTGAGGAATAGCTTCTCAAGCTTTTGTCTCTTTCTTAACTTACATAAGTGCTCCACATTTGCAAATTTGAGCAGTGCAAGAGATTGAGATTTATTTTTGAATCAAGTCAAATTTCTTTCCCCTTGTGTTTTTAAGTGTTTTATTATAATTGCTTCTACATTTGCCAAGCTGTTTGGATATTATGGCTTTGGTCTTCAAAATAATATTTAGTTAAAGCTAAAAAAAATTTGCATTAGGTTTTGTAAATGGCTCTTGATGCTGGGAGGACACTTCTGCTTCCCACCATATTCGAAGGTTTGCAGGTAACAAGGTTGTGCTTTTACTCAATGCTTGTTCCCACACACAGAATATAAAACAAAAGAAAGCTTGCCTTAAGAAAATAGTCTTCTATTGGGCGTGCCACAAGGGCTTTGCCAGGAAATGGCGGATTTCCACTAACAAGTTTGATGAGGTAAAACAAAACCAATGTATTTGTCATTAATTAAGTTGATATGCACTTGGAGAGCAAATACTATTCCAGCAATGAGACGCACGAGGTTTCGAGGGCAGCAGAAATTGCACGCCTCACATTGGGTGTTTTTGACGAAGCACCAGTGGGGAAACTTGGGATAACACCCAAAGCATCACAGGTTGTGACGCTTCTCACTCGAAACCAATTCTGGGACTTGTGTTCGGATATGTTGGACGAGCGATCCAAGCAGCACGAGGAATGGATTGAGCAGACCTTCACTGATGACCAAGATCTCAACTTCGTGCGCTACTTGAGGGAGGAGGAACGAAAGAACTCTAGAAAATAAGTTTTTGGTCTCCATCATTCTCGTTTTGGAAGTGTGGAACCACAAAGATTCACTAGTTTATTATTGCTTTCGACAAATCCAGAAAGAGCTCGATCCATAGTCAATCTCTCCGACAGCGCTCGCATCCGCAAGGAAAGTAATGCCAACCAGATTGAGGTTTGCAAACTCACTGTTAGCTGCAGACTCCAGAGCTATGGTAGAGATCTGGTTCATTTTCACTTCAAGGCCTGATTTGTAACCTCCCTTTGTGTTTGATATCTCTTGGCCAGTGAAGCCAAGAGATTTCAAGGTTGAATTTGCCAGCCAAACTCCGGGAGATCCTAAAATTTATGACAAAGATTTCATTAGACAGCGAAAGTGGAAGCCAATATTGACAATTACCAGTGTCGAGAATAGCTGGGACTTCAATCTTTGTGTTCCCATTCTCAATTTCCACGACAAGCCAAGGCAATCCACCAAGTATTTTCCCTCTTGTAGCTCCTCTGTATAAAGCAATGGTTCATACTTTTGAAATCTATAAATCCAATAGCATACCTTGGAATGCTAGCAGTCTCCAGTATTGGTCGATCGATCAATCTGATCTGCCACGACTCCTCCGCATCAGGTCCAGCAGAAAAGTCCAGTAACATTCTTGTTTTAGCAGCAAAGAAGTAATTTGACCCCAAGACGAAGCACGGGCTGTCATATGCAACAAGAGCTCGCACATCCACACCGTTCACTTGAAGCCTTATGATCTCTCCATCGCTTGCCTCATGCCCTTGCCCAAAGACGATGTTCATGTCTTTACCAGCAATGACTGTTCCCAGAGCACCAGTGTCAATTGCAAACTCAATATAGCCGCTTCTCTCTGCGTCGACAAACAATGTTGACGTGAAGTGATACTGATCCGTTACTTTGGCTTCATAGACTGTTGCTGGAAAAGAAGAAGAAAGAAAATAAGGAGAGAAAAGAAACGAAGATTAATATTTTAACACCTTTGGCTCGAGTTGTCACTAGACTTGACTTTGCAAACGCCAAATCTGTGACAGAGCACATATGTCAATCGAGAGAGAGAGTGAGAAAAAAAAAATACAAACCAGAATATAGAAGGGATGTTCTCCTGCAGGGGAGACCCAAGGATCCAGTGAAAACTCCTGGATGTCCTGTCATAATATTATATAGATGGTAAAATCAAGTTGTACTTAATGGTTTCTCTATCGCGTGTGTGAAGAGACGTCCCCGTGGGTTTGTAGAGCCTCTAACAGACAATGGCTATCTCCATAGATACGACGACGCTATGATTCAATAGTCTATGCTCTTGAGAGTACTTTCGATAACTAACCTGGACGTGGAGAGTTCCAGCCTGATGGCTCTATCCCAAGAAAGCGCAGTGATTTACAGTCTGGATGTGTGTCGAGTTAGAAAAGTTCTCGGGGGAACGAGTAACAAACCAGTACGAGCTTTGCCTGCTAGCAGGAGAGCTTGTGGCGATTTTGAAAAACGCGCATGACCTGTGCCATGCAAAAGGCTAGTTTAAAACGAAAAGTTCTTCAAACACAGATCAACTAACGAGCGCTCGAAGCTTGTCTTGCTTTTCCATGATTGAGCATCGTTTGTCCAGTCCAGGCCGAAAGTCCTGTGGCTGAGAGGAATAAAACATTAGAAGGTGAAGCCATGAGATTAAATCCCCAAACCAGAACTTAGAGCTTTGCCTGGTGGTGAACCTGGAATGCCTGATAGCGATCTAGCAAAGAACGCTGTGTTTGTGTGTGAGAAAGATTGATTAAATCGTCTTGTGAAAGCTGAACTAACCAGAAACTCGGGCTTGGCCTCCAGGTGACGTTGATCTGGCATAAGCTCCTGCTAGGAAAATGAGAAGGTCGTCTTGATAGATCGAAAGCTCCAAGACTCACCACGAAGTCCCGCGTCGCAGATAATCTGGAGGCTCCCGGATCCTTCCATCCACGAAAATCTTGGAAAACAAATCGCAAAAGAAAGATCAAATCGATCATTGAGAACTAACCGGTATTTCGAGGACGATCGCTAGCGCTCATGGTCATTCTCAATCCCGCGTTCTTGGAGGCCAGGAGTCCTGCATTTCAAAGCAGCGGCAATGGATCATCGCGAAATATCGGCGACCGCGAGACTGGAGGCAAAGAACTGACCGTGAACCGGCGACAATGCGCTCGAATGCTCGAGAATCGACAGCGATCGAGGGGCTGCCGGATCGATCATCGAGAATCCGCCTTTCTTGATCAAATCCGGATGATGATCGCGTCCTGCATTCGATCATCCGCCACACACAGATGGAAATTTCCGCAATGGAAGTCGATCGATCTACCCGATCCGAGTGCTAGCGCCTTCGCTTCCAATGGGAATGCCATGCAAGAGCTCCACACCGCCATCGCCAAACCACGCTCACGCTCTCTTCTTCTTGAATTACCAATGAAATTGACCCCGCTACTTCACGTTTTACTGAAGCGCCAGCTTTCACGCTTTTTACTTGTGTAGAGGTCGAATCTCGCCAGTAACACTTGTTCTGGTAAGTCCTTCTAGGGTTCTAAAGACAGAGTTGGAGATGGCTAGCGTCTTCTTCTCGCCGCCGTCGCCACCGGCGCCATCGCCAAGTAAGCTCAGATTTCTTCAAGGAAATGCTGCTCGTCGCTTCCCGGCTGGGAATCTCCATCTCCACGCTAGAAATACGAGGCGGCGATCCGGCGTGGTGGCCAGCGCTGCCGATCTGCGAGAAAAGGTCGTGGGGATCGATTTGGGGACCACGAATTCCGCGGTTGCGGCGATGGAGGGTGGCAAGCCGACGATCATCACAAACTCTGAGGGGCAGCGCACCACTCCCTCGGTGGTGGCTTTCACGAAGAATGGGGAGAAGCTCGTCGGCCAGATCGCCAAGCGCCAGGCCGTGTTTAATCCCTCCAACACCATCTCCTCGGTGAAGAGATTTATCGGCAGGAAGATGGCCGAGGTTGACGAGGAGTCCAAGCAGGTCTCCTATGCTGTCGTGAGCGATGAGAATGGAAATGTGAAGCTCCACTGCCCTGCCGCTGGCAAAACCTTCGCTGCCGAGGAAATCTCAGCTCAGGTTTGCTCAAACTCTTTGTTGCCTTTGTTTCTTCGTGGTTTCGCATCTTTGTTTTTCTTCATGATGTTTTATAATGTTTTTTCCATCCATGATCTTAGTTTTTTCTTCGTGATCTTGGTTGTTCCGTGTTTGGTTTTCTATCCTTCTATTTTGTGATGCGTGTATCTTAGATTTTTTCTTCTTTGTGTTAGGCTAGCTATAGCATTTTCCTTTTGTTCTTAGTGTTAATCTTGTTTTGTCTTTGTATCTAGGTGTTGAGAAAGCTTGTGGACGATGCTTGCAACTTTTTCAACGACAAAGTGAGCAAGGCTGTGATCACAGTTCCTGCGTATTTCAACGACGCACAGAGAACTGCCACGGTCGACGCCGGAAGGATTGCCGGACTAGAGGTTCTTCGTATTATCAACGAGCCTACGGCGGCGTCTCTGGCTTATGGTTTCGACAAGAAAGCCAACGAGACCATCTTGGTTTTCGATCTGGGGGGTGGTACATTTGATGTTTCAGGTATACAAAACTATTTCGCTCTCTATCTCGCACTGGTTTGATGATGTCACTGTGCTGTTCTGATTTAGTGCTGGAAGTTGGTGATGGCGTTTTTGAAGTCCTGTCGACATCAGGAGACACGCACTTGGGTGGAGACGATTTTGACAAGGTGCCACGAAGATCGATTAAGATCTTTTTATTTTCTTAACTCTTTTTCGTCGTAAACAGAGAATTGTTGACTGGCTAGCGTCCAACTTCAAGAAAGACGAAGGAATCGATCTTCTCAAGGACAAGCAAGCACTTCAAAGGCTGACAGAGACTGCAGAGAAGATCAAGATAGAGCTTTCGTTACTCACTCAGACAAGCATCAGGTGATTAGAGCTTCTCACATATGCGCTTTTTTTCTTCTAACTGTGTCGATCAGCCTGCCATTTATTACTGCCACTTCAGATGGTCCTAAGCACATTGACACGACGATTACTCGGGCTAAGTTTGAGGAACTGTGTTCTGATCTTCTAGACAGGTAGGTTTTCAACACTCGTGAGAAAATTGTTCATTCTGTTTTTTCCACTCTCTTCTTTCTGCACCAGGTGCTGCACACCAGTCGAAAACGCGCTTAAGGATGCAAAGCTGGAATTTAAAGACATCAACGAGGTGATTCTCGTTGGTGGCTCCACTCGCATTCCTGCTGTTCAGGAGGTTGTCAAGAGGCTGACGGGGAAAACTCCCAACTTAAGTGTCAACCCGGATGAAGTGGTCGCCTTGGGAGCTGCAGTTCAGGTATGATTCTCACATTTGAAAGAGAAAGAGTGGTATTTATCTTTCTTTTCCTTCGTTTAGGCTGGCATTCTGGCTGGCGAAGTCAGCAAGGTGGTGCTACTGGACGTGACCTCACTGTCGCTGGGTCTGGAAACTCTGGGTGGTGTCATGACAAAGGTCATCCCTCGCAACACGACGCGTCCGGCAACCAAGTCGGAGGTTTTCTCCACGGCCGCAGACAACCAGACGAGCGTAGAGATCAATGTTCTCCAGGGAGAGCGAGAGTTTGTCAAGGACAATAAGTCCCTGGGAAGCTTCAGGCTGGAAGGCATTCCCCCAGCACCGAGGGGAGTACCACAGATAGAGGTCCGCTTTGACATCGATGCCAATGGTATTCTCTCGGTGAGCGCTACCGAGAAAGGAACTGGAAAGAAGCAGGACATCACCATCACCGGAGCTAGCACTCTATCTCAGGATGAGGTAAGCTCTTCCTTGTTACATCGTTTCTTTTCTCTGAAAGTTTGGTCTTTTAGGTGGAGAGAATGGTCCAGGAGGCTGAGAGGTTTCGCGCAGAGGACGAAAAGAAGAGGGGAGACGTGGATGCCAGGAACGAAGCCGAATCTCTGGTGTATCAAACCGAGAAGCAGGTCGAGGAACTGGGAGGCAAAGTCCCGGCTGATGTGAAGAGCAAGGTGGAAGATAAAGTGAAAGCGTTGAAAGTGGAGATGTCGAGCGGTGACACTCGCAAGATCAAGGACGCCATAGCCGCATTGAGGCAGGAAGCGATGCAAATTGGCCAGAGCTTGTATAGCCAAGCTGGAACGAAAGAAGCGAAGGAAACGAAGGGAACGAAAGAAACCAAAGATGGTAGCGATGGTGATGAAGTCATTGACGCGGATTTTAGCTCGTAGTGTCGAAGAGATTGTCCAAGAGCATAGGAAATGGAAGCATGAAATCTATAGTTTATAGAAACTTTAGACTGTCTCTACAAGAGAAGAAATGTTTTCTGCCTAGTCTTAAGATGCCAAGAATCTCCATTTTGCGCTCCAGGGTTTTAGGGTTTCCAGGGAGGATGGCGGCGGCGAGGGAGCCACAGCTCGTCCAGCCTCCAAAGGTATGGCTAGGCTTAGATTCGAGAGGGCGCCAACGACATTGGTTTCCTTCTCGCAGGGCACGCGAGATTTCAAGCCCGAGCAAATGATGGTGAGGAAGAGAGTGTTTGGCATCGTCTCCAAGGTTTTCGAGCAGCACGGAGCCGTCTCTCTCGACACTCCCGTGTTTGAGCTCCGGGAAACTCTCACGGGAAAGTATGGAGAGGACTCAAAGCTCATCTACAACCTCGAAGATCAGGCTAGTGAAAAAAACTTTTCTTTCCTTTTGTTGCTCACAATTTTTTTCTGTCTTTCAGGGTGGTCAGCTCCTTTCGCTCCGATACGATCTCACTGTTCCTTTTGCTCGATATCTGGCATCGAACAAGGTGACCAGCATGAAACGCTACCAGATCGGCAAAGTTTACCGGCGTGACAATCCTTCTCGGGGGAGGTATCGCGAGTTCTATCAGTGTGACTTCGATATCGCGGGGCAGTTCTCGGCCATGATCGCGGATGCCGAGGTGATCAAGGTCGTGGTGGAGCTGCTGGATTCTCTCGACGTAGGGGACTACCAGGTGAGAAAATAATTTTTCCTGCTTTTCTTTTCTTCTCGTTGCTTGACTTCAATCTTTGTCACAGGTGAAAGTGAATCACAGAAAGCTTCTGGATCTAGTTCTCGCGTCTTGTGGAGTTCCCGAAGATAAGTTCAAGTCCATTTGCTCCGCCATCGACAAGCTCGATAAATCTCCCTGGGACAAAGTTCGAACAGAAATGGTGAGCCTTTTTGTTCGTGTTTTTACATATGTGTTTGACAAGAGCTTGATTTCTACCAGGTGGAGGAGAAAGGCTTGTCACCGGAAGTGGCTGACAAAGTCGGTGAGCAAGTCTCCAAGAAAGGCAATGCGACGGACATGCTTGCTTACTTGAACGCGTATCTCGGAGAGTCCCAGAATGCAACAGAGGTTCTCGAAGGCATGGAGACGCTCTTTGGCTTTTTGGAAGCTGGGAACTGCTTGCATCGCGTGGTTTTCGACCTTAGCCTTGCTCGAGGCCTGGATTACTACACCGGTGTCATCTTTGAGGCCGTTTTCACTGGCTCCACTCAGGTAATCTCGTCGTTTCTTCTTTCTGTTTTTCATCTTGGTTTGTATACTTCTTTTGAAGGTTGGATCGATTGCTGCTGGTGGTCGCTACGACAACCTCGTGAGCATGTTTGGCGGCAAGGAAGTGCCGGTTGTGGGACTTAGCCTGGGAATCGAGCGCGTTCTTCTCATACTCGAAGAGCGGGAGAAGGCAAACAAGGTGCGTGTTTCTCTCAGGATTTCTCAGTACAATCACAACTCTCTCCCTCTCTCGCACAGGTTGCAAGAACAAAAGAGACACAGGTTTTGATACTCTACCTCGGCAAAAACATGCACAAGCAAGCCTTTCGACTGGCGAGCGAGCTGTGGGCTGCGTCACTCAACGTAGAGTTTGACGCCATCGCCACGTCCAAGCTCAAGAACAAGCTGGATATGGCGGGCAAATCCTTCATCCCCTTCGTCGTCGTCGTTGGCGAGGACGAAGAAAAGAAAGGCGTGGTGCAGCTCAAGGAGATTGTCGTGAAGAAATCTCAAGAAGAAGAAAACAAGCAAAAAGAGGAAATTCCCAGAAACGAACTAGCCAAGACCATCTTGTCCAGATTGCAAAAATAAATCTTTCGATCATAGTCCTTTAACCTTTGCTCTTGGAATATCCTAGCCTTTCCCTTAGAATATTCTTTTGGCTTTAAACAGTTTTTGCCCTAATCCGGGGCTGGGGTGATCTGACGGCTGATGGGCGCGCGAGAGCTTTGGCTTGAGTGGTGGAATCTGATGCTAGGGCTGAATCCGGGCGTGGATCCTGGGAGCTCTAGCTAGGGTTTGGGAGCGGGGCAGGGATTCTTGCGGAGAATGGGCTACGGGCGTGGATTCTACTGGCAGGCGCTTTTGCGAGCTGGGAGGCTGCTGCTCCATCTCAAAATGCCGTAGTACCGTGCCCGCGGGGGATCGGCATTGCCGCAATGCCGGCTGCCACAGCGGCCAAGCTGATTGTGGATGCGCTGCTGCAGCGCTTTCTGCCGCTCGCGCGACGCAGGATCGACACGGCACAGGCACAGGTAATCTTTCGGGGATGATCGACGGGTGAGTGATCTTCGTTGGAATTTCTTTCTTTCTTTCTCTAGGATGGGCAATATCTTCGCGCGTCTGATGCTGCCTACGAGCAAGTATTGGATTCGCTGGCTATGGTGGCTCGTCACACTCCAATACCTCTTCTGGAGGCACTTCTTAAATGGAGAGAAAGGTGAGTGGTCTTATCTAAAACGAACAAGAAAAACAAGAATTGATGTGATTGGCAATGCTGTCTCGTATGAGCAGTGAATCCCCGAAAGGAGCCAACGATGCTTCGACTTTTCAAAGGAAAGTGAGTTGGAACTCCACTTTTTTCTCTCTTCCTGTGCTGAAACTTAGATTCGTGTAGCTGGCCGTGGAGTGTATATTTTGCTCAGCGTGTATACGTTTTGTGGAGTGCTGTCCACAAGAAGGGCTCACAGGTATTTCACCAGTGCCTTATTTCCAAGTCCTAGACTCTCATACATTCTTCTATGGACAGAAACACTGTGGAATGGTCTGGAGAATTTTGTTTTCGATTGGCTTATCAATGCCGACAGGTATCTGGTTTTTCTGATAAACTGTGATGAACCAACACGCTCTTTTATTTCAGAGTTGTTAGCCAGACAGATTATCCGTCCTTATTTGATCTTCGCGGATTGCTCTTGGACCTCGTTGCTCAATTGCTTGGCGCTTTGTCCAGAATAAGGCAAGTTGAAATTCCTTCAATGTTAACTATAACATGAAACTATACAGATTTAGCTCCATAACTGAGCGTTTCTTTAACGAGTTGAATACTCGTCGCATTGATACGAACGTGACAAGAAGCGAAACATTAAGCATCATCCATGGAATGCGGTATCTCAAGCTCGGGGTATTTGAGGAAATTGTTCTGTAGTCAATTGGGTAATCTTCTTCTTCTTCTTCTTCTTCTTTTTTTGCAGGTTTCATCACTTGGGGGACTTAATGCTAGCACGTCATTTGTAGCCAAAGCCAATCCTTTGAATCGAATGCCAGCGAAGAAGAAGAGTGAACTCCATCATGCGTTGTGCAACATGCTTTCAAGTGTTCTTGCCCCTCTCACAGACGGTGGTAGTGGCCAGTGGCCGCCTGCAGGAGTTGATCAGGCATTGACTCTGTGGTATGATGCTGTTCTTCGAATTCGGAACCAGCTTATGCACTGGATGGAGAGGCAAAGCAAGCATGTTAACGTAAGTAAAAGATTTTCCAAATGAATTCGTCGTCAACAACGTTTACAGGTTGGATACCCTCTTGTTACAAGTCTTTTGTGCCTAGGCGATCCAGAGTATTTTATAAGTTCATTCAATCCTCACCTCGATCAACTGTATAAACTGTTACGGGTGAGCAGGGAAGTTAAAATTCAGTATTGCTCTAAACCTTTTTTTTGTCTTAGGAGAAAAATAACAGATCGGTAGCATTGGAATGTCTTCACAGAGTGCTTCGCTTCTATTTGAATGTGTACGCTGAAAGCCAACCGCAAAATCGGGTATGGATGACCTTGCACAGTGTTACAGCTCAATTGTTGAGCTGTTTGAAAAAAGGCTTTTTTGCGCTGGATGTTCAACACGAGAAGCTTGTCGACCTTTGCGTGACAATAGCCGAGAGTAATCTGGACTTCGCGATGAATCACGTGATATTGGAACTTCTTCGGACAGAGAACCTTAGCGAGGCTAAAGTCATCGGTCTGAGAGGACTTTTGGCTATAGTTTCGTCCACTTCGGCCGAGCAACGTACAGATGATTCCCGGCTCTCTTTGACGTCATTTCGTGGATCACCGACATCTTCTTGGTCATCAGCAACCTCGGCCGTTTTTACGTCATCTCGTCACAGTGCTGCAGCTCGTGTTGATATTCCTTCCAGCACTCATGATATTGGACCATATATACCAAAAGTTCGAGCTGCTCTTGGTTCTATTATCAAAGCATGTCACAGCACTTATGGGGGTGCATTGCTTACTTCCTCGAAGGCAACGCTGGGTAAGTTTTGCGACTCTTTTCGACAGTTTTTTCTCACAGTCACGTAATTTTGACAGATGCTCTGAGCAAAGAAAAGCCTCAAGGCTGGCTTGTGTTCCGCTGGGCTCTGAAATGTGTACCACATTTGATACCAGAGCAGTGGCGCAACGATCGGATGACGGAAATTATCCCGGTTTATGCAATCAGTGTTGAACCTGGTGTTCGTGAGGAAGCCGTGCAGGTTCTTTTCAGAACTGTTCGGGACCTTCCTCAAAGCCGCTTTGCCGTCATGCGAGGGATGGCAAATTTTATATTTCGGCTCCCGGACGATTTTCCAATACTGATCCGGATTTCTCTGGATCGTCTCGTACAGCTTTTAAGCTCTTGGCGCGTGTCTCTTTTGGAAGAGCTTTCGGACAGCAAAGACAACTATAACAAAAGTTCACGTCATTCGGCACCCTCGGAAGCCCGGTTTCATCCCTCGGGTTTAGATGCAGTGGGTCTTATATTTCTGTGCTCGGTAGACGTTCAAATTCGGCATACGGCTCTGGAACTTTTGAGGGCCGTTCGAGCTCTCTACAATGATCTCTCAAGGATGTCTTCAAAGGAGAAGAACAATAAAAGGCCACATCCAGACCATACTTACGTGATCGACGTATTCGAGGAAGCTGGTGTATGTATATTTTCGTTGTTATAATGATTTCGTTCTAAAGTTCTTTTCTCCAGGACGACATTGTCCAGCAATGCTACTGGGACTGTGGAAGATGGTACGAAATGAGAAAAGAGTGGGATGCCATTCCACCAGAACTATCGCTGCAAACCGTACTGGAGAGCTCGGACAAAGGTCGTTGGGGACGATGTTTAAGTGAACTTGTTAAGTATGCAGCAGAGCTTTGTCCGTCAGCTGTTCAAGGTGCAAGGTGCGTTTTTCTTTTTCTTCTGTTTCGCTCCGTAGTTTCTAATCTAAGTCGTTCTATGTAGACTGGAAGTGGTTCAGCGGCTTGCACAAATTACTTCGGTAGAACTCGGCGGGAAGTCAACAACGTCGCACGATGACAGCAAGCTAGACCAGTGGCTTCTGTATTCAATGTTTGCATGTTCATGTCCTCCTGAGGACGTGGAGGACACCAAGTCGCACTCTACGAAAGAGTTGCTTCGTCTAATTTTGCCGTCTTTGAAGTCAGGTTCCGAGACTCAAATTGTAAGCCTTCCTTCACTCGACCATTCTGATGCTTACTTGTACCTGTGTTCATGTCCCCCACAGAATGCGGCTACCTTAGCGTTGGGACACTGCCACTGGGAGATTTGCGAACCAATGCTCACGGAATTACGACAGTTTCTGGACGAAATTGCAACGGAGATTGAAAGTCGTCCCAAGTGGAAGGTATGACGAGTCTGCCAAAAGGCTTCTGTGTTGATGTTTTCCGTTTACAGAGTCAAAAACTTAGGCGAGAAGACATTCGTGTGCATGTTGCAAACATATACCGAATGGTGGCAGATAATTTTTGGCCTGGTATGCTGATACGCAAGCCCGTTCAACGTATTCATGTGATCAAGTTCATTGAAGACACAGTCAAGTACATCACGTCAGCGTCTCCGCTGGAGGTTTTCCAAGATTTGCAACCTCTAAGATTTTGCCTAGGCTCCGTGCTACGATCAGTCTCCGTCGAAATGGTGAAATCCAACTCGGACCGGTTTGATCCGCGAACAAGGAAGCGGATGTTCGATCTGCTCGCGTCCTGGTGCGACGATACTACGACTGTCTGGAGCCAAGACGGTGTTAGCGAGTACCGACGGGAAGTGGAGCGGTACAAGTCATCACAAAACTCCAGGACTAAGGACTCTGTGGAGAGAATCACTGTAGAGAAGGACGTCAACGAACAGGTGGATGCAATCCAGTGGATCGCTATGAACGCTATGGCCGCTCTGTTATATGGGCCTTGCTTCGACGACAACGTCAGGAAGATGAGTGGGAGAATCATCGCATGGATCAACGGCCTTTTCCTTGAACCGGCCACTAGAATGCCTATCGGGTATTCTCCAGATCCTCGTACACCACTCCATAAGTTCGCCATGGCTGGAGTCTTTGACGTAGTTCACGGTGGTAAGGACAGGCACAAGAGCAATCCTATGCGAGTTCATCTTGCGAAAGTTGCTCTTATGAACCTCGTTCAGACCAACCTCGATCTCTTCCCAGCATGCATCGACCAGGTTTGTGATTTACTCATGAGTTTTTGGTGGCATTACTATTTACGTTTTGTTGCAGTGCTACTCTTCTGATCCTTCTATCGCGGATGGGTATTTTTCTGTTCTTGCCGAAGTGTACATGCGGTACGAGATACCAAGGTGCGACACCCAAAGACTGTTAAGCCTCATACTCTACAAGGTTGTGGACCAGTCTCGGAGGATTAGAGATGATGCATTACAGATGCTAGAGACTTTATCCATCAGGGAATGGGCTGAGGATGGGGAAGGAACGGGAAGGTATCGAGCAGCGGTCGTGGGAAGTTTACCAGATTCTTACCAACAATTTCAGTATCAGCTGTCTGCAAAGCTAGCAAAGGAACATCCAGAGCTGAGTGAGCTACTTTGCGAGGAGATCATGCAAAGGCAGCTGGATGCAGTGGACATCATCGCTCAGCATCAGGTTCTTACGTGCATGGCTCCTTGGATTGAAAACTTGAAGCTCTGGGAATCGGGATGGAGTGAGAGACTGCTGAAGAGCCTTTACTACGTAACTTGGCGTCACGGGGATCAGTTCCCTGATGAGATTGAGAAGCTGTGGCGGACAGTGGCAAACAAGAGACGAAATATCAGTCCCGTCCTCGACTTTCTGATATCTAAGGGCATTGAAGATGGTGACTCAACCGCATCAGGAGAGATTACTGGAGTTTTTGCGACGTACTTCTCGGTGGCAAAGCGGATAAGCCTTTACTTGGCTCGAATATCACCACAGCAGACAATAGATCATCTCGTCTACGAGTTGGCAGAGAGAAGACTTGAAGATCATCCGGAGCAATCGAAACGAAGTGTAGATGGAGCGTTTGAGCTTGAAAGCTCTGCTGTTTTGGAGTTCTCGCAAGGACCAGCTCCCGTTCAACTGCTAGAACCGCCGCCGCATATGTCACCACTTCTGGTCAGGAGCTCTCTGGAAGGACCACTGAGGAATGCCAGCGGGAGTTTAAGCTGGAGAACAGCCACAGGTCGGAGTATGTCGGGTCCTCTGAATACTATCCCCGACACGCATACCGGGAGGTCTGGCCAGCTATTCACGGGATCAGGACCCTTGCCAAATGCTTCGGGCCAGCTTTTGGGAGTTCGTAGTTCCACAGGAAGCGTGAAGAGTCACCACTTATCGCGTGACAGTGGAGACTATTTTGACACTCCGAATTCGGTTGAAGACATACGTATCATTACTCCACCGGTGAACCCGAGCGAGCTGCAGTCGGCTCTTCAGGCCCATCACCACTGGCTTTCTCGTGCGGACATTGCTCTGATACTTTTGGCGGAGATAGCTTACGAGAATGACGAAGACTTTCGAAGCCACCTTCCGCTGCTCTTCCACGTTACGTTCGTATATATGGATAGCTCCGAAGACATTGTTTTGAAGCATTGCCAGCAGCTGCTGGTGAATCTTCTCTACTCGCTAGCGGGACGACATCTTGAACTTTACGAGCATGGTGATGGAGATTACAAGCAACAAGTCGTGAGCCTGATCAAGTACGTGCAGTCGAAGAAGGGAAGCAGGATGTGGGAAAAGGAATCAATGTCTTTGACGAGAACGGAGTTGCCAAGTGCTGCTTTACTATCTGCGCTGGTGCTAAGTGTGGTGGACGCGATAGTTTTCCAAGGCGACCTTCGGGAGAAATGGGGGGAGGAGGCTTTGAAATGGGCTATGGAGTGCTCATACCGTCATCTGGCCTGCCGGTCTCACCAGGTTTACCGTGCACTCCGTCCCAGTGTCACCAGCGAGACGTGTGTTTCACTGCTAAGGTGCCTACATCGATGCTTCAGCAATCCAACTCCTCCAGTGCTGGGATTCGTCATGGAGATCCTCCTGACTCTGCAAGTGATGGTAGAGAGCATGGAACCCGAGAAAGTTATTCTCTATCCACAGCTCTTCTGGGGCTGTGTGGCCATGCTGCACACGGACTTCGTCCACGTTTACGTCCAAGTTTTGGAGCTGCTTTCCCGGATTGTTGATCGGCTATCCTTCCACGACCACACCGCCGAACAGGTTCTTCTGTCCAGTATGCCCAGGGACGAGTTTGAGAGCAGCGAAGGGAAAGGTGACGGGGGAACAGACGCAGACAAAGCTCCGGCGTTTGAAGGAGTGCAGCCGCTGGTTCTCAAGGGACTCATGTCAACAGTGAGCCATACGTGTGCTATCGAGGTGCTGTCGAGGATAACTCTGCATTCGTGCGACCGGATTTTTGGCGACTCGGACACTCGTCTGCTGATGCACATCGTGGGCCTCCTGCCTTGGCTCCTGCTTCAGCTCGTAAAAGGACAGAGTCACTTACCCGGTTTCGACTCGCCACTCCAGCAGCAGTTTCAAAAGGCTTGCTCTGTCGCGACAAACATCGCTCAGTGGTGCGAGGCAAAATCGCAGGGAGCTCTAGCGGCTGTTTTCTCCGCTTACGGGAATGGACAAGTCACCGCCATCGGAGACTTGCTCAACCGTATAGTACCGTTGCTGTGCAAGGAATGGTTCCCTCGGCATTCGGCGCTGGCATTCGGCCACCTTTTACGTGTTCTGGAGAAAGGACCAGTGGAGTACCAGCGAGTGATTCTCCTCATGCTCAGGGCGCTCTTGCAGCACTGTCCGATGGATACCGCCCAGAGTCCTCAAGTTTACGCTGCCGTCTCTCAGCTCGTGGAGAGTCCTCTCTGCTGGGAAGCCTTACATGTTCTAGAGGCGGTTTTGCAAAGCTGCAGCACTTTGCCGGTGGAAGCTACAACTTCCAGCGGACAGGATGCCACTGCCAACGGACAAGCAGCGACGAGGAGGCTAGACGAAGACAGGCCTGTCGTTGCCTTGCTCTCGCAGACTTCTTTCAAGTCTCGGACAGGTCCCTTCCATTCCTGGGTTGGCTCTGGTGGAGTTCCTGCGGTGACTGGAAATCCCGGCAGTGTTGACATGACGATGCTTCCATCGCGCGAGACGGCGCTGCAAAACACCAGGCTGGCACTGGGACGTGTTTTGGATACTTATGGCGTGGGAAAGCGCAGGGACTATCGGCGTCTTGTTCCATTCGTTATTAGCAGCGTTCAAGCTGAGCCGCAGCAAAAACACCGGTGACATCGTTCGTATATACTCGAGTAAGAGGAAGAGGAAGAGCGCCTTGGTTTGGAGACAGCTCTTTTTTGTTCGTCCATAAGGTACCATCTTTTACTTTCATTCTGATCTCGTCTAAATTTCGTTCGCCATGAAACAGGACGCTTTGTACATTCGAATCGCAGGAGTTTTGTGTCGGATAGAGGTAGAATCTACTCAAGTTGACACTGTTAACGAGCTATCTTGTTTATACGCAGCAGTTTTGAGTATATAAAGAGACTTATATTGACTGTGTAAAGACGACGCGGTACGTATACTACCGCGCACTTATTCTGATCTCTTCTTTTCGTTTTTAAATCATAATCAGGAAGCTTGTGCAGCGAGCTGCCACTGGAGGAAATAACAGCCGAGTTTGATAAGTTTGGACGCTTTTTGTAACGCCCCAAGCTTCCCCTGCTCGGCAGCCAACCGGGTGTCGTCGATCACGTCCCTCGTCACCTCCGCGTCCGCCAGTGGTATGGGGTAGTAGTACCGGCTCAAGTTTTGCATGGAAGTCGTGAAGAAGCCGGTCATCTGGGATCTTATATCACCAACCTCGATGGCTCGGTAGCCAGACGCGACAGCTTCCTGGACGAGGCTATCTTCCGCGGCCTTGAGCGCCTTGAGCAGCTCCCTCCTCGGCTTGGCCTCACGCTGCACGAACTTGAGAAGCTCTCCATACGTTCCTTCGCCAACCGGCTTGCTCTCGAAGGGCCCGTGCTTGAGGAACTGTCCGAGGTAGCCGGTCTTCTCGTCGCCGACGAGAGCTCTGGCAGTCTCGGAGATGTGGTTGATGAGGTGCGTGCTGAGCCGCTTGTGAGCAAACTCGAGGATCTCGAACGCAGCAATCTGCCTGGAGGAGTGGATGAGCCTCTTGAGGTGCAAGTCGCAGTTGTTCTCGTCCCAGCAACTGATGATCCTCTTCAAAGCAGGTTCGATGGTGTTGTTTCTCGATTGATTTTCTTGACTGTGATCTTGTTGATGGCAGCTCTGTGCTCGTCTTTTCTCGTCAAAGCTGGTGGCGGTGGCGGCCGAATGATCAAAGACTGGCTGTTCCAAGTACTCGGAGTTTCGAGCTTGCTCCAGAGAATGGATCCTCTCCTGCTTCAAGCTGTTGAGGTAGTCGACTCTTCCCCGGGCCTGCTGCTCCATGACATCCAGCTTACTCTTGATACTCTCCAGCTGCTTGTCCTCCATGTTCTGGATGACGCTCCTCATCGACTCCTGCTTGCTCCCCAGCGACTGGATGCGGTCCTTGAGCGAGTTCTTCCCCTTGAGCAGCGACTTTATCTCCGACTCGAGCGTGGAGAAGTTGTCCAAGAGCGACTGCATCGTATCGTCGTCCTTGGGCTCGAATCCTCCAAACGCAGCGGCAGTGACAGCAGCGGATTCTTCCGGTGGAGCAGTGGCAGCAGAGACGCGATCTTTGGCGGTGAAACTAGTAGGATCGAGCGCGGGGCTGGCGAGGGAGTATGGGCTCAAAGCATAGGCCCCGGCGGTGGGGGTGGAGGAGTAGGACTTACACGAGGAGTCGGAGATGGTGCTGGGCACGAGACGGACTCTCTTGGGAAGGACTGCTGTTGCCGATGGTGATGGCGAGTGAGAATGCGAGTCGGAGTGGGAGTGGGAGTGGAGGCCACCATTCTTCCTGGGACGAGACTGGATGTCGTACATTTTCACGCGCTCATCACAGGATAGGGCTGGGGGCTTTTAACGGAACGGGCTAACTGCCAACCTGGCACGAAATATTATCTCATGTTTTATAACAGAAGGAATGCGTTTAAAGCGTTGATCACATTTTGGAACTTGCTGTTCTACGTCCTGCCATTGAAACAACAAAGTCACAAATCCGTCTGGACTATATTAGATGAGCTCGCATTCGCTGGAGTTTGTTTGAGCACGCAGTGGCGGCAGGAGTCAAGCACTGAGGTAAGCACACTTAAAAATCAGTTACTTCTGGTAGAAACCACATGCGTAAAAGCACTTTGGCTCGGGTTTGGCTTAAGAAAATGCGAAAGCTTATAAGTGTTGGAAATGTAAGAATTACAGCAATTCCCATGATAGAATAAAGTACTCACATACCATAGACAATTCCAGATCGATGTGCTTCTGGATGAAATCACACAACCTGTTCCAGCATGAGATTGTTGGTCACCTTTGGACACATGTTGAGGCAGCCGGCTATTTTGTTATACTTGCAGCAGTAGTACTCGTGTCCCGATTCACAGCGCTGACCGCAACCGAACTTATTTTCCCGGCAGCAAACGTAGTCCTTGCTCTTATCGCACATCTGGTGGCACCCATATCCGTTTTTGACGCAGCATTCATATTCGGCGTTGGAATCACACTCCTGAACGCAGCCCTGAAAGTTTTTGATGCAGCAATAGCTGCCGCCAAGGCCTTGGAAACACAAACACTTCAAGTATGAATTGATGGTCGTGCGAAAAAGAATGTGACTCTCATTTACCGTGCTGAGGAGGTTCGTGGATGGTGGTCACAAGCTCCATAGAAGGCTCCTCAATCGTATTCATAACGCCCTTGTTGCCCACTGCTTACAACACAGTTCAATGGATGTAATAGACGGGAAAGACTTAAAGCGCAAAGTACATGCCTTCAATATCGCGAGATGCATTTGCCAAGAGCACCAGGCCAAAGACAAGGCAGGCAATTGCAGGAAGCTTGGCCATTTTCCAAGGATAGGAGAGATTCCAAAAGATGAAACGAGCAAAGGATGTACTTTGGTGCCCTTTCTTTGATCACAATTTATACTGTGAGGCTGGCATGGATCGCGTGGGAAATCCTTTTCCAAGTCAATCCCATGCTAAGTATCTAGATTGCAAGCAAATCCCAGTTAAATACACAAGATTGAGTTTGATAATCTTGTTCTTGACTGTCCTAGACTGTACATAAACAAATATTATATGCCAAACTTCCCATCGATCACATGAATCGCTTCTCTAGACGGTGAGAAATTTGGGTGTCCTGAAAGTTGCAGCACAGCTAGAGAAAATTTATGCTTTTTTCAAAGGGTAACAGCTCAAATGTCAGATTCACTGGTTTTATGGGACTGGTACAATACAGCCCATCAGCCACGTGGGTCTAGCAGTAGGATTATCGCCAAGAACTATACACATTTAATAGACATGAAAATATCACTGACCTTATGTTAATGTTGTAGACAATGTTTATTGAGAGATATCCATCTTCGTGTAGCCATGCATTCTTAGCAGCTCCAGAAGCTTTTGCATGTGAACTTCGGTGTGCAAAACTCTTGGGCCAAGCCGGATAGAGTTGACATAATTTACAGGATTGTGATCCACAATCCCAGGAAAGAATAGCCCCGCAACACGAAGCACACGGGATGCCATCGCCTCCTTGAACTGCGACCCATGCAAGTAGCTCCTCCTGAAACTTAGAATCAACTCCCAGGCTGCCGTGATCCGTGTCACGATGAAGTACTTGATTGAGAAGTTCTTATTTGGTTCTTCGAGCAGCGTCTGAAAAGCATCACGCGCATCAGCAGTAAGATTTGTAGTAACAATCATACGTACCTTTGCAGTGTAGTTGTGGTCGAAGTAAAAGCACAGACCAAAGTGCTTGAACTGGAAGAATATATCATCAAACGGGATCCTGGGAACGATGTCGTTGGAGTAAACGATCCGAAAGTAGCGGTTCACTGGGTCATTGAGCTTCTCGTCCATGTAGTCTGCAAAATCTATGTCTCCAACTCGAGGCTGGCCGAAAGTATACACCCCTGCTATCCTCTCCGTGACCGAGTCTTCCTTGTTATAGAACAGCATCGCCGTGAAAACTGTGGCCAGAGCTCCACCAAGGCTGTGTCCCGTAATGTAGACTTTGGCGCTCTTGTTGGCTTTCACAAGCTCCTTCAACTTGTCCTTGGTCGAATCGTAGGCCAACGAGAGCTTCCTGTCCTCGTTTTTAGCCTCTGGCAAGCCGGAAGTGACGCGCTCTTTGCCTTGAACGTTTTGATAGCTGTGCTTCTTGAGCCTTGTAAAGGATTCCATGTCGTGGCGATCCACCAGGCTGAGAGCTTCCATAAAGCCCACATGGATTCTTCCGACCCCCGGAAGGTGGTACCAGGAGAAATCAAAGTCGGTGCTCCAGTCGTATGCGTTGAACGGCATGGTTCCTCTGAACGTGACAACGATTGCGCCGGCGTCCTGAGGTGCATCCATGAACAGAAAAACCTGAGTTGGATTGTTCTCTTGGTTCTCTGCATCGTAATAGCTTCTTTCAGTCAGCACGGAGCCTTTCAAGATTAAATACTTAACTGTTGATGCACTCGAACACATTCACAAGGCACATCTGAAAATATTGTGGACGCGTTAGAATCAGAACGTTGGGTCACATACCTTCCAGATCTGAGTAACAACTTTGTTTACAACCGCCGGGTTTTCGTACGCAAGCTTCGAAGCCATGATGCACACGTCTGCCACGACTTTTGATCCGGGAACCACTTCAAAGAAACTGCTGCCTTCAGATTTCTGAAGCTTCTGATCGTCGGAACTTTCGGTCATCAGCTCCAATCTCGGGTCTAGCATCCCCACAATGCTCCAGTAATTTTCCGAGCCTTCTACGGGCATTACTAAGACTGCAGTGAAATAGACAACTGAGAGTCCTTGCAAAAACAAGAGCAATAGCTTACATTCACCAGCCAAGATCTTGTTGCAGACTTTGATGAATCCACCGTTTATGTAGAAAACGTTGAGAATGTACTCCACGAATTTACCAGTAACCTTAGAGATCCGTGCCAGGTAATGCAGAAGCGTGGTGATGAACATCGAAAGTTTGGCCTGCCAGCTGACATCGATCCTGGGCTTAAGTGCCGGTGTGGAGCTTACATGTGGTGTTTCCACAAAGGAACTACGGCGAACATAGTCCCACGGCTTGCCTTGACTTGGATGGCCGATTACAAAGGTGTCCATCCTTCGATACTCTGTCAAGAATGGCAAGTTTCAAAGTTTTCTGCGAAAAAATCAGTCTATGTAGTCAAGTACCTTGCAAACCACACGAGTTCCATGCCGCCGGCGTCACGGAATCCATGCAAAGATCCGAAGAGAACGTTTGTCAAGAAAAATCAAATGCATACCAGTTATAATCTCAGCACGGGAACAAAACCGCGAGTTCTTGAAGTATCTGTAACAGCTGCAAAGAAGGAAAAGAGAGCACCATGATCAAAAGAAAGTGTTCTAACCCGGGGAATAGAGCTAAGTAGGAAGAATCAAAACAGGCTTGAGCGGGACGAAGGTTTTTTACAGCGGGATGGGAGTGTTAGTGGCTGGGGACACTAGGCTGGAAGCTGTAATCTTCCGAGTCCTCTTCAAACTCGAAGTCGAGGAACGGTAACTCGATTTCTTCCGGGTCCGAGTTTGATCTCTTGGAGCTCTCACTGTCCGTCCAGTCCCCCAGGTAAGATTTTGGAGACTCGCTTATCTCGCTGATTTCGTGGACGACCTTTGTTTCTACCGCTGCCGCTTGGAAAGTCGGCTGTGGCTGCAAAGGTGGCGCAGAGGAAGCAGAGCTACTGACCCTGGCGGAAGGCTTTGAGAGGGAGCACGTCCAGGCGATGGATTTCGAAGACGAGGAGCCGAGAGGGCCGAAAGTTTTGTTGGCACAGTCGTAGATCTTGCATGGGGTGGTGGCAGCAACTAGCTTCCTTGAAGGTGGCGGCGGGGGTGAGCTGCTGGATTTCCATGACTTGAGCACCGGCAGCGAGCTAATTTGGAAAGTCCGCGAGGCAGCGACGAGCTTTTTCTGTTTCTTCTTCAAGTGCTTTCGCTGCTTTCGATTCATAGTTTGCTGCTGTTCTTCCTGTTCCTGATCACCATGTGTCACGTTGCTGGTGGAAGCGTCGTTGCCAGAATCTGTCCTGAGAAGTTCCACCATTGGAAGTGGAGCCAGCTTCAATCCAACAGCGACGAGATCCTTGACGTCTTCGCTAGAACGAGGTGGCGCCGGAGGACGGGCGTCTTCTACTACCATTAACTCGCGGGAAAGGCCAGGGAAATCTACCAAGGAAGCGATACAGGGCTCTTCGGGGATCTGAGACGATGCCTCTACGACCATGGGACTGGGAGAAAACTTCGCGCGGGATTGCGAGAGGGAGGATGAAATGGCGGCTAGATCGAACTGTACTGTCTGGGACCCGGTGGATCGGCGAGTAACCGGCCTCCATTCCCAGCGGGCCTTCCTCTTCACGAAGCATCGATCTCTCCTATCCTGGCCTAGATGATAGTGCCTCCTCCTATGAAAGAAATGCATCTGACCTCTCGCCCGACGATCCAGCAGCGCCTTGGAAGACGAAGACCCTAGCTTGGCGAGGATGACTCCGACCGATGCCGCGAACAAAACCAATGACGCTATTGCGCTGGTGTGATCGGCGGAGCGCGCGGCGATGAGCGCCGCTGCCAATCGCGCCTTGTCCTCTAATCCGCCAGCGGAGCAGCAGCTATGGCGGCAGAAGGAGCAGGAGCAGCCAGAGCTGCTAGCGTGTTGATCCATCAATGTAGTCGACGAGGATGCTGGCGCAGCGGCTGCCGCTGCTCCTGCCGCTGCTGCCGCCATAGCTCCAAACCCTTGTGTGGGAATTGGGGCAGGCGCGCAATTCCAAAAGAGAAGCGGGGGAGAATAATATCGGTGTAGTTCTCTTCCCTTCAAGAACCCTAAAAATGATACCGTAAAAGATTCTCATCCGACGCGTCCGTCTTGCCACGTGGCATCGTATCGTAAGGGCGGGCGCGGCTTTTTCAAAATCCGCATATCCGCTTTTTAAATTATAGATTCCTAGCTTTTTGTGTATCCATTAACCCTGAGATACTCTCGCGATTTCTTGTCAGCCAGCCTCACAGGCTCAGGAACCCTAAATTTGCACAGCTTTCTCACAATCTCCACGCCAGTCTCCAGCGAAATCCTATGCCCGGTCGACACAAACACTGGATTCACGCACTCTCCCGTGCTCCGCAGCGCCGATCCCCAAACCTTGCCCGATCGCCCCACCAGATCCATGGCGTCCCCAGCTCGCAGCAGCGAATTCCTGGCGCTCCTCTTCACCTCCCTCTCCGAAAGCCCGTCCACCTCGAACAGCGACTTGGCGATTCCCAGCGTTGGAACATCGGCAAGAACACCTAAATGGCTCGCGAGCCCGAATCCTCGCGGGTGAAGCACGCCATTCCCGTCCACCATGAGCAGCTGCGGGAAGATCTCCGGCCGCGAGGATTTCATCCGCGCGAGGAGACTGAGCAGCGCCGGGCTCTCACGGAAGGCCAGGAACCCTGGAATGTAAGGCATGTCGAGCGAGACGATCTCCAAATCCTCGTACACCGTCGCCATTGTGGCCGCATCGATCACCACCAGTGCGCTGCAAGCCACCGTCTCGTCCTCCTTGACGAAGCTAAGATCCATCCCACCGATATATTTGAGTTTAATCTCTCCCTTTCCCTCGCAATCTTGCTTCGATCCATCGATTTCTTGCGTTTGAGGTAATTCGTGCTGGCTCGGCGCGCTAGAATCGACCGCTTCTTCCTTTTTTAGGGTTCTTGGCTCACCATAGCCAAATTTCTCTGGAACTACCCACGGGAAGGAATCGCTACAAACCAGTCTTTGCTTGAGCGCCTGTTGCTCCTGAATCCACAGCTTCTTCTTCGCCGCCTTCTCCTCCATCAAAAGAGCCCTAATTTCAAACACAACGCGCGCAAGAACCCTAATTTTTGCCAAACAGCCCACTCAAGAACTTGGCCGACTTTACAACCGGAGAGCTCGCCGCCACGCGATTGTAGAGCGCATTCTCCAGATCTTCCGGCGATGGCCGCCTACTCAGGCTCAACACGCAATCCATCTTGCTGCCTTCCTTCAAGAACACTCGCCATGGAGTGTTGAGCGGGACCTCCTTGAGCACCGCGCCTTCTTTCCTGCTCAAGAACACCCTGATCGAGAGAGGGATGAAGGAGTATGCGACCTGGAATGCATCACACGGCGCCACGAGCTCTTCCTCCAGCGACCACTCCGGATTGAGCACGACGATTGCCCTGCCCCCGGAACTCCCCAAGATTCTCCCCACCGGATCAATCTCGGCCGAGCCGGGAGCCACGATCAGCACAAACGCCGCGTCCTTGTGGATCGCAAAATCGTAATCGTCCTGGAGATTCTCGAGCTGGAGCTCTGGAAGAACCCTAGAATCGGCGCTGCGCCTCCTCTCCGCCTCGGCCGCCACGAATTCTTGCAGCAGCGCTGTCGGCAGCACGAGACAGAGCTTGGAAACACCGGCATTGGCGAGCAGATCGAGCGCGAGCGATGCTAGGGTTCGGTCGTCGCCATCCAGGACTGGGATCTCGATCCGGAAGCGTGACTGCTGCTGGATCTGGGCTTGGCTCTTGGAAATCTTCCGCAGCGTCGATGGCTCCGCGCGGCGCTTCAGCGGTGCCTCGAGAACCGCCCAGAGCGAAGCGCGCGCCTGCTCGATCGTCTCCTCCTTGCTAATCGGCGGCAAATTTCCTGCCCCATTCTTCAAACTTGCCCTACAAATCCAAGAAGAAGAACACGAAGGGGGCGATGAAGAAGAAAGGTTCGTCGATATAGGCATAGCAATTGCCGCCATAGCCAAGACCTTTGCAATCACGCCATGTGGCAAGAATAACTGTCCTGCGATTGTGCCACGTGGCGATTTTCCATAGCATCCGACCGTTGGCAGGGTCAAACGCGTAACCGAGTGGCAAGAGCCCTAGGTCTTGATTCCTAGGCAGCGAGTCCACAAAATCGGCTACTGCGCGTTCCGCGGGATGATCTTCACGAGCTGAGAAACAGCTGGAAAGCTCGCCATGGATCAGGCGCTCGCTCCTCTGTCCACAGGTATGGGATTCCTCAATCTCCACTGGATCTTGCAAGGCGTGGACGCGATGCTCGCGGCGCACGCCGATCTCCAGCGCCTGCTGCTGGAAGCGCTGGGAATGCCGGGGAAGAGGGATCGCATTCTAGTCTCGGTGTTCGTGGATGACAACGCGAGGCAGCTCGAGACGATCAACGCTGTGAGGAAGGGTATGAGCGTAGCGGCGCAGCACAAGATGAGGATCAAGTACGCTCTCAATCTCGTCAAGAGCGCGGCGATCTCCAAGGAATTGGAAGTCGCCAGAGCAAAGATTTATCTGGAGGAAGTGATCGGCGAGATCGAGAGGAGCAGTGAGGTGAAGAACACGCATACAGGGAGCTGGCCACTCGATCAAGACAGCCACCATTACCGGAAGCTCAAGCTCGAGAAAAAGTCCAACATATCCACGATTGCAAGCAAAGCCATCGAGGCCAACTTGGTGAGCTCGCTGGTGCTGGGGGCGCTGCTGGCGGCCTTGGATTGCAGCGCGGGTCTCTCGATCACGACAGCGATCCCGATCCCAAAGAACTTATCGGGGGGATTTCCAAGTTTGTGGGAAGAGCTCAAGGAAGAGGCAGAGGCAAGGCGTGGGAATCGTTGTTCTTCGGCATTTCTGGAAGGGATTTGCTCGTGCTTGGGGCAGATCGCGGCGCTGCTGGATTCTTTGCTGCGGAACAAAGCGACAAGAGACGATGACGAGCTCCAGATCAAGCAGCTCCTTCGGCTTGCGCACAAGAAGCTCGATTATCTCGACAGCGGCTTCCAGATTCTCGAGGAGCAAATGGGCGATCTCTTCTCCAAGATGGTGGCAAACCGGAAGGAAATTCTCTCGATTGCGTGACGATTCATATAGAAGAAACATCATGTGTAAAACCATTTGTAAATTGATTGATTGCTTCGTCAAGATGGAAATATTCCTCTTGCATTGACTAGAATATGCGGCGCTAGTACTGAAATTTTTTAAGGGATCAAAGTTTTAGGGTTCCTGGAGGAATAGGCGATGGGAGAAGGGATCACGGAGGTGGATCGGCTGGAGGCGCTGGTGGATGAAGGCGTCGGCGATGTCGCTCGCTATCTAGCTCTCATTCGCAAGCTCAAGCTGCGCAGATCTAGTAAGGTCGCCAAGCACGGGATGGAGCTGCTTAGAAATTCCAGCGCCAGGGCCAAGCTGGGAGCTGACGGTAAGGATGTGTTTCTTCGATCAGAGCGTTAAGGATGAAAATTTCTCCAAATGCCTGGCAGTCTGGACCGTGTACGAGCAGGTTGCGATCGCCGCATTGGATTGTCAATGCTTGACCGCTGCAAAGGTAAGTTTTTCTTCATACTCTTCGATTGTTCTATGAGAGGTTTGGATTATTTTGCGTGATGGACAGGAGTGCATTGGAGCTTTGCTGAAGAAGTTCCCGGATAGCACTCGAGTGGGTGGGTGATGCAAATGTCATGCGTGTGCTTTTGTTGATGCGAGATTTTTCTGACAAATTCGGGTTTTGATCAGGGCGTCTGGAAGGAATGTGGTTTGAAGCAAGGGGATCGTGGCAACAAGCCGAGAAAGTCTATGCTAGCATTCTAGAGGAGCGCCCGACTGATGCAGTAAGCTTAAAACCTCTTGTGGATTGCTCCAAGGTTTTTTAACTTTTGTGCCTTGTCCAGAGAATACTTAAGAGAAAGATAGCGATGGCAAAAGCTCAAGGAAACCTGATGGGTGCAGTTGATGAAATGAACAAATACCTTGAACTGTAAGCATTTTTTGTTTCCCGTTTTTCTTTTTTTGTTGATGCTTAGTTGTGTGTCAGGTTCATGGCCGATCACGAGTGCTGGAAAGAACTCGCAGACGTTTACCTCTCGTTGCAAATGTGAGTAGTCTTTCCGACGCGTTGAAATCTCTGAAAATGCCTTCCCAGGTACAAACAAGCTGCATTTTGCTACGAGGAACTCATCTTGGTACAACCCGCGAATGCTTTGTTTCACTTGGGGTATGCCGAGGTACGCGGTTTTGTGTGTGTGTGTGTGCTCAACAAAGTCTCAACCTTTTTGGTCTCGCATTTTGCCAGATTTTGTACACGATAGGTGGCTTGGAAAACTTGAAAACAGCCAAGAAATACTACGCATCGGCGATTGAGCTAAGCGGAGGCAAAAACATGCGAGCTCTCTACGGTGTTTGCCTCGTAAGTCCTGCAAAGGTTTTGAGATTGAAAAGACAAAAACCTCGGTCTCTTTCGTGCAGTGCGCTGCTGGGATCAACCAGGCCAAGGGCCGGAACATTAAAGACGAGAAAGAGAACTCTACCGTGCACACTCTCGCGGCCGACGTGATCAAAAGGGAATACAGATTGAAAGCTCCAAAGAAGGCCAGTTTGGCGGCTTGCATTTTGGAGGCTTGACGAAGTGCTTAAAAGGCGAGGCTACCACTGGGAGAGAACAAATGGGTCGCTGGTAGCGATTTGTTTGATATATATCAAAGTATACTAATATATTCCTTGTTCGGATTCCAAAGTCTCATCCAATTTTCTTAATGCCAGACGGAATGTGCTGCTTGAGCTAGCGGAATATGTCTCTTTGTAGGCGGAATGTGCCAGGAATAAAGCAAGCCGCTGACGGAATATAATGACGTAATATGCTATGGAATCGTACGTGGCGCGCTGTGAGCCGTTGGATATGCATCCGACGGTCCATACGCGGACATGCAAAACCCCCCGGCCCGTGTTGTTTACTTCGAGGTTGAAGAGGAAGGGCCGTTTAGATCACAGGTCGAGAGCGCGCCTCGCTTTTTTTGGGCCGCGCCTAGCTAGGTAGGGATCGCGGCTTTAAATCTCTCGCTCCAGAGGTAATCTCATTCTTTGTCGGCGGCCTTGCAGATCCTCGCCGAGTTTTCGCTGCTTCTGCCAATGGCCGCAATGATGATGAAGTCCGCCGTGGCCGCGAGCTGCGCCATGGATCGATTGAGCGCATCCGCCTCGAATGCGTCCCAGGCAGCGTCTTGCAACATGGTACTGTATGATTCACACATATTTCGGCGCTCTCACTGCTGTTCTTGCATTGCCAGGTCGCGTCTCCAAAGCCAAAGGCTTTTAAGATGGCTGCTAAGATGGATTCTTTCTTCGGTGTATCCGATCTGCGCTTCTCGGCTCCCTTGACGAGCCGTGCCACAAAGGGTTCCATGGTTTCGGTGCGAGCAGCGCTGGCGGAGGCTCCCACAAAGCCAAGTATGGGTTTGCAAAGCTTGTTCTTCTTGAGTTCTTTCTTTTGGGAGTTAGTTTTACCTGAACTAAATCGTTCTTCGTCGTTTCTCGCTTTGTTTTGTAGAATCTGCGGGAACTAAAGGAAAGACTAGGATTGGCATCAATGGTTTTGGACGCATTGGAAGACTCGTTCTCCGAGTTGCGTTGACACGAGATGACATTGAAGTGGTAGCGGTGAATGATCCATTCACCAGTGCCAAGTACATGGTAAGCTTTGCGGCTTTGCTTTTGTAGTTTCGCTCTTTACATTTTTCTTTGCTTTTGATAGGCTTACCTCTTCAAGTATGACTCCACTCACGGGATCTTTCACGAGGAAGTTAAAGCCGTGGATGACACCACCCTGGAAGTTGGTGGTCACAAGATCAAGGTCTATGGACAGCGGTAATGTTTCAGCTGATATGGAAATCGATTGTGATGCATTTCGGTTTTTTGCAGTGATCCCGCTGATATCCCATGGGGTGATGCCGGCGTCGACTTTGTCGTTGAGGCCTCTGGCGTCTTTACCAAGACCGAAAAGGCGTCTGCGCACTTAAAGGTAGAAGAGAATTTTTTAGACTCCCAAAGTGACTTGCTCACGATATTATCTTTTGGACGGTGTGTGACTAGGGAGGAGCCAAGAAGGTCGTTATTTCAGCACCCTCGGAAGACGCACCAATGTTCGTTGTTGGTGTGAATCACGAGAAATACAAAGCCGAGCAAGACATTGTTTCGAATGCTAGCTGCACAACCAATTGCCTTGCTCCTTTGGCCAAGGTCTTCAAAACACTTGCTTTCTTCCTTCCTGCTCAGCTCTGTTTTCTTGCAGGTTATCAACGATGAATTTGGTCTGGCTGAGGGTCTTATGACGACTGTCCACGCAACCACAGGTGCTACCCCATGGAGAGCTCTAGTTCTGTGCTTAATTTCTTTTGTTTCTTTCTCCAGCAACTCAGAAAACTGTGGATGGTCCCTCTGGAAAGGATTGGCGAGGCGGACGAGGTGCCGGCCAGAATATCATCCCCAGCTCTACCGGAGCAGCAAAGGCACGTCTCTTTTAATGGACCATGTCCAAAGTCACTAAATGTTTTCGTTTTCTCAGGCTGTCGGCAAGGTTCTTCCAGAGCTCAATGGCAAGCTCACAGGAATGGCGTTCCGTGTCCCAACTCCAAACGTCTCAGTCGTCGACTTGACGTGCCGATTGTCGAAGGAAGCTTCTTACGACGAAATCAAGGCCGCCATCAAGTAAGTCTAGGAACCTTTGCGACTTTGGAGCGTTTTCTCACTCTGGGACGTAACTGGCAGGGCCGCATCCGAGGGATCTCTCAAGGGCATCCTCGGCTACACCGAGGACCCTGTTGTCTCTAACGATTTCATTGGCGATGCCAGGTATGAATCGCCTGGATGAATCTAAGCCGGAAACTGTGGGTTTGTACCAGGTCGAGCATCTTTGACGCTGCTGCTGGAATTCCATTGAGCAAAAGCTTCGTCAAGGTCGTGGCGTGGTATGACAACGAATGGGGATACAGGTGTGGTTCTATTTCTCTCTCGTTTCATGAGATTTAGCTTCTTTTGTTTTCCAGCAACCGGGTCGTGGATCTTCTCAACCACATGGCAACTGTCTTGGCCGCCAGCAAGAGCCAGTGAGAAAGAAACGCGGCCAGTTTTGTATGCGCTAGTGAAGGAGCTGACTACTTATATTTTTTCAAAGACACCACCAGTATGGATGGAAACTATGATTGTTACTGGAAATAAATCACACACACAAGACGAACCATATGAAAATAAATCAATGCCGTGGAATGAAAAATGCCTTGCTTTCTCAATGGTTATGAAATTCAAAGAAAGATGATTGATTTGATTATAATTAAGTGGTAACTAAATTCCACAGCCATATTCTGGATAGCATTCAACTGTATTGTGACTATGAATGCTAAAGAATCTGGATGACCCAAGATCGGTCCTTGTACAGTATAGCCTGGACATTCACATTGCTTAACAAATAGAGATCTAGCATGATTGCAATAGTTTCCTGTTAATTGGAAATGTCCTTCTAACATATATTCTATACCCCATGAAGCTCCAACTTCAGCTGTGAGAGAATAAAAGTATATTCACTCAAGATGCACCTTTCAAAGTGGATTGTCAAGATTGTTAAAGAAGATTACACCTGATAGTTGTTGAAATGAAGGAGCTCAAGGAGCTGAGCTTATATTCACTACGCATCAAATGGAGTCATAATCTTAATCTCATAAGTAAAAATTAATTAGCATTCTTAATAAAAATAAGGGAGAACCAATAATTCTTTGTACATGTGTTAGAACTGTGATATAAATCGTACAAGGGATTGATAATATATATATATATATATATATATATATATATATATATATATATATATATATATATATATATATATATATATATATATATATATATATATATATATATATATATATATATATATATATATATATATATATATATATATATATATATATATATATATATATATATATCATCAGAGAAAACTAAAAGTCTAAAGTCTTAGATTAGAAATCCTTGACAGATTTGCCAACTTACAACATGTTGGTTTGAGCAAAGTGTTTTGGCATAAAAGTTAACTATAAATAAAAGGGTTAACATAATTTTTATTTTTTAATTCACTATCTACTATAATAATAATAATAATAACTAAAACAAGAACTTCCAAAGTGTGAGGAAAACTCTAGTGCAAACCCCAAAGTTAATGTGCTCTTCAAGGATTCAACATTTCATTCTTTGAAATTCCTTCTTTTCTACAGGGCATACTATTAAAGAATATGGCAGTGATCTTTGAAGCCAGTGACTCTTTTGGTTGCTTCAAAATGGCTGTGGGTGAGAACTATAATCTTTTCTTCATTTGGTTTTTATCACTTAGCCATGACTGTTTGTATTAATTCTTCCAGCTATAAATTCCATATGAAATATGTAGCTATTGGTGCACTGGTTGGCAGGTGCAAAGGATGTGTGTGATGCTTAGAGATAGAAGCGTTTAGGTATTGCTTTAAGTCCAAGAAAGAAATATAAAGAATATTCTACAGCCTTGGAAATCTGGACATCTTGGCTGGCCTATATTCAATCTCATGTACTGGTATTTTTCTGTGGATGACAGAAGAGTGTGATATTGATCCTAAAGAATATAGCATCAGGAATAACTACTGTAACAAGGAAAAGACACTTGATGATGACGTTGAGGAGTATATACACTAATTTATTGAAGTTTGGAGTGACATCAAGAGATAAACAATTCTTGCTTATCAAAAGATATCTTCGCATGGATCCTCAAGGTATGAATCAATCATATATTTATCATTACTACTGGTACATTAAACATGTCAAAAACTATTGTATTGTAGAATGGAAATCATCACTATACTGTAACAACTAGGAGGTTAATAGTTGGTTAAAGTCATGGGAAACTTGTTGATCTTGCAACCTTTAAGCAGGTTGACTTACTTAGAGTATCAAACCTAATCTAAATTCCACTTCAAATGTTTTATTTATCAAAAAGTTTGATGTAAACTAGTTATAAAAATTATGTAGGGATTTTATCTTTGGATGTGTATGCTTACAAGTTTTGCAATCTCTACCTTATTCTCATGGATATTTATAATGAGTTGCTAAAGTTGCAATGTTTTATCAAAGATTTTAGCTCCATGAATGTGCAAAAAAATGCCAAACAAGATTTTCTAGTGATGTTAATTAAAGCCCAGATATTTTTGCCATCAACTTGTCAATAAAGTAGTCAACATAATGATTATTTTTTTCTGAAATTTTTATGTAGAAGGATGTGTCATCTGTTGTAAGGCTTGGTCCATCCATGTTGATCACCGAGAAATTGGATGCAGTCGGCCCTCCGATAGGAAAGCTGTTCTGGGCCATGCTTACGGCCCAGATCTTGTTGTTTCCCTAGTTGTCAGCTTTCAGTGGTGGCTACTTCTTGGCCTGTGCTCCGTGATTGTGCTGCTTTCAGTAAGGCTAGAGCTCGCTTCTGCTTCTGGAGCTTTTGCAAGGGTTTCTACATCGTCCAGTTTGGCATGAAGTTTGAGAAAGGCCTCATCTAGTGTGTGTCCAAGGGGGTCCTCCTCGGTCTTTTTCTGTCTCTTTGCTTTGCTGGCTGGGCTGGACGCCTACAGTCTTGTTTCTGCCTCTGATGGCTGTGCTTTTCAATGTGGTCGTGGCGTGTGCTCTGCTGCCGTGGATGATTCGTTGATGTTCCACAAGCGCCAATTGCTGGTGAAAGTCTTCGAGATGTTTAGATACTGCGGTGCATAAGTGTACTTGCCCATGGTGGTCTAGCTCTTTGTCGAACTTCAACTGTTACCACCACGGACCTGGTGTTTGTGGAGATGATTCGTCCTAAGTTGCAGAGTTTTGCTGTTTCGACATCCAGATTGCTCTCATTTGCCAAGAACTCACTATTTAGAGCTGTATTGCGGAGGGATTGTGGATGTGGAACTCGTCTCTCGTGGTCTCATTTCCTCTCGATTGAATCGTCTGGAAATGTTCTCTCTATAAATCCCGTGTAGTGACGTGTGGCCACCTGGCAATGGAAGATACTTTGAATATGCTTTCTTATTTTGCTGCCTCGATGCCGCGTCTGCTGGCTAGGTTTTGGCGATGGCGCGTTCTTCGACCGATCGGAGGGCGGGAGCGCTGGGAGATTTCGATGCGCTCCCGGATGAGCTGCTGTGCTCGGTGCTTGGATTGCTGGAGCCGCGCGACATTGGCGCCATGGCGTGTGTTAGCAGGTATGAAGTGACTGAGCTCTAGGCTCTAGCTCTAGCTTGATCTGTCCCGGTGTTTCAGTGTGTTCTATGTACTGTGCAATGAGGAGCCGCTGTGGATGCGGATTTGCCTGTCGAACCGAGAGCGCGTCGATTCTCTCGTTTACAAGGGCTCTTGGAAGAGGACTGCTATGAAAAACAAGTATGTTTGCATGCACTTTTTTTCCGTTTTGTGTTCGCTAAAGTGCTTGGTTTTCTCATAGAACTGGAAAACTCAATGGCAAAATCGAGCAGCTACAATTCAATGGTGGGGTTTTCTTCCATCTCTTCAAAGCTTGCTAAAGCTTGTTCTTACCTTTGTCCACAGGTTTCACCTCCTTATACCTTTATCGAAGGTGGTATCGGTGCCATATGTCGCTCGAGAATTTCTTCTACGACGCTGGAGCTATTGAAAGACGGAAGGAACTCTCCTATGATGTCTTTGTACAAAACTACGATGTTCAGAAACCTGTATGTTTCGGTGAGTGTCCCTGCCGACAGAAATTCTCACAGATTTTCTTTTATGCATCAGGTTCTCTTGACTGATCTGGCTGAGGACTGGCCTGCGAGACGAACTTGGACGATAGACCAACTTGTCCATCGCTACGGTGACTCCGAGTTCAAAGTTTCTCAATCATACGGGCAAAGGATACGCATGACGCTGAAAGATTATGCTGATTATACGAGGTCCCAACATGATGAAGATCCGCTGTATATATTTGACTCTTCTGTAAGTTCTTGTATTCGAGTGGCAGTTCAGATATTTACTGCTGCTCGCTGTGCAGTTCGGTGAATCTACTCCGGGTCTCCTAGAAGATTATACAGTACCATATTTGTTCAAGGAAGATTTATTCTCCGTTCTAAGTCCATCGCAGCGTCCACCATACAGGTGGCTTGTTATTGGTCCCTCTAGATCGGGTGCTAATTGGCACGTCGACCCTGCTCTTACAAGCGCCTGGAACGCACTTTTATCTGGGAGAAAGAGGTACAATTACCGTTGTGTATGAAGATGATCCATGAACTGCAATTGATTGAACAGATGGGCATTTTATCCTCCTGGGAGAGTACCACCCGGTGTGTTCGTTGATGTGAACGAAGACGACGGAGAAATTCATTATGATGGTCCAACATCTCTTCAGGTACATGGAACTTGTTACGGATTGTGTTTACAGCGTTTTCTGCAGTGGTGGATGGATGTTTATCCTTCTCTGGATAACGACAGCAAGCCTTTGGAGTGCACACAACATCCCGGGGAGACGATCTTTGTTCCCAGTGGCTGGTGGCATTGCGTGCTGAATATCGACGAGACAGTTGCCGTCACGCAAAACTTTGTGAACAGCAGGAACATGGAGCTTGTATGCATCGACATGGCGCCGGGGTTTCATCACAGAGGTGTTGCTCGTGCTGGTCTTTTGGCATTGGACGATGATGAGTTTGAAGGCGAACATGATTTTACAAATCCAGAGTTTCTGAAGAAACACATAGGCCCGCACCCTGATCACTTTTTATCCGAAACCAGCGCCGATGGAATGCTGAACAAAAGAGATTTCCGTGACTGGCTTCGAAAACTTCAAGTTGAGAGGCCTGATTTAAGACATCAAATTTGGAAGGTAAGTTTTTCAATCGTGTTTCAGTCAGTATAAACTCTAGCTGTATTGTTCGTCCTTGTGAAACAGTGTGCTTGTCTAGCTATCGATGCAGATACATGGCAAAGAAGATTAAGCAGCATCTGCAATGCGCACGACTTCTATTTCAAGGAAGATCAGCACATTCCTGTTGGTCATGGCAGTAGCCCGGTAAGTAAGCTGAGCATCTTCGTTATTGCCAAAGCTGATTGACTTTGCAGGTTTACCTGCTTGATGAGTATGCAATCAAGATTTATATACACGAGGACGGAATTGTCACTGCCTTGCAAGAGATTGACCACGAGGTACTTGGTTTTATCGTATTTCGGTTTTTTTTTTACTCTTTTCTACATGTAGCTCCAATTTTATGCTTTACTTCGAGAAAGCGCATCGCCCTTGGCTGAACATGTTCCGGCTGTTATTGCCAAAGGCATTGTTTACGAAGAAGGTGAACTTTTCAGAGCAGTTCCTTCTGTCGACAGTGGTGAAATACTTTCAACTGGAATGTCTATGGTAAGCTCCAAAGACAGCCGAGCATTTTGGCCATACATTGTCACAAGGCGATGCCCGGGACAAAACTTAGCTCATTGGTAAGTCCAGTATTTCGTCGATTCGTTTTGCTGTAAGTTGTTTTCTTTGGCAGTCGAGGCATGATGAAGGACGATGATTACATTGATCTAGCATCTTTTCTTGGCTGTCAATTACGGCACCTTCACACACTGTCGCTTCCGATGAAGGAAGAGCCCGTCCTCGGTATGCCCGACGTACCGCAAGAATGGACACACTTTGTGAGCATGCTTAGGCAGCATCGGCAAACACTTGCGAAACGTCTCAAGGAGTGGTAAATCTAAAGTCACGCCGGTTCTTGTTGTCTTCGCTAACTTCAACGCCATCTTCCAGGGGCTCGGTGCCGCGGCATTTGCTAGAAAAAGTCGAGGATTACGTCCCCAAGGATCCTGTCGTGCTTATAGGCGTTGCGAAGGTACCCAGGCTTTCTCGTATTAACTTGTGGGAAACGACAGCCTCATCTAATTTGATGCTTCTCCGTCACCGCGCAGGTTGAGAATGGCGCCGCTGTGCCGTCGCGCAGCGCGGCTTGGCTTCACATGGACATTATGGAAGACAACATCCAGATGGTCCCTCACGCCAGTTTGGACGGCTTCCAAAACGATAGACGAGCGATGCAGGCGAGATACATCTTCGACTTCGGCGACCTCCGACGCGGTAAGGCTCTTCCCACTTTCGCTTGTCGATGCCCGTTTCTGACGATGCCAGCCTCGGCAACTTCGCAAAAACAGGGGATCCCCTCTACGAGCTGGTCCCGCTGTTCACGGACGTCCTGGAGGCCAATGTGGAGCTCCTGGAGCACTTTCTCGAGTCCTACAAGCTCGACCTCGCGGTGGAGGGCGTGCGAACTTCGTATCGAGCAATGTGAGTCGCCATTAACTCTCTGCTGGAAAGCGCTTTGATTCCAGGCTGACGCGATCGATGCTGGTTCTTTATTCTTGCTACCAGGTGCTATTGTTTACTGTACAAATACGACGCAATGGAGGCCATATTCCGTGGCAGCAAAGAGCTGCGCATGGTGGAATCATGGCATGAGCTGGAGCTCATTCTCTGGGGCATGCTCAACGAATAGACAAAGGCCGTGCTCGTGGGGACCATGGAAGTCGTGTGTGTGGGGTGACGTCAGCGGCACACGTGGAGTGACGCGTGGCGGGGTTGGGGTTTAAGCACCAGACAATCACAAGACAACGCAGCTTTTAAGAAGAGAAAACGAGACCCCGTTCCATCCAATCCACCATCGAGGAAGAGGGAGGAAAGACATCTCCGGCATGGACTAATATATATATATATGTATAGATATCAAAGATGGAGCTATCAATCACCAGTGGCACCACCGAACAATGACACACGAAGAGAGGAAGAAGAAAAATAAACATTGATATCAAGAGCAAAGATTGCACAGCTCTTTGAAGTGGACACGGGCCAATCCAAGCAATTTGCTGACCTCTCTAGAACTGTGGAGGTGGTGGAGGTGGTGGAGGTGGTGGTGGTGGTGGTGCTGGGCTCCAAAGTCCAGACTCTCCAGACTCTCCAGAGAAGGAGGGAGGGAGAGAGATAGAGGAGGTCCCATCTCTGCAAGCGAAAAATCTTCACGAATCTCGCTCTTGTTGTTGGTGTTGTTGCTATTGCTGCTGCTGCTGCTACGGGTGATGATGGTGGTGATTGATGATTTAATTGTTGTTGTGGCTGGTGGCTATTTGTTTGCGCGTGGTAAACTTTCAACGATTTGCCACCGCGAGGACAAAATATGATACTTGTCTTCTGCTAAGCTAGCAGCTGAATCCTCAATCACAGTACCACAAGATCTCACAACATCAAAGTAAAAATAGAAAACATACTGTATAATTTGGGATAAAGTGGTGTTGTGATAGAAGATTGTGTGTGTGTGTGTGTGTGTGTGTTTTCTTGTGCTAGCCTGGAATTTTCTTGTGCATGGAGACTTGTGAATGGCTAGAATCTCTTGCAACCACCGACACCGACCTTATTTTAGTTTTTCCCATTTTTCCCCCCTTTTTTTTTCCCCTTCCGCCACTCCAGAGCATTTCCACTCATTTATACACGCACACATGACTTGCTGTTGGACGCACAGCCAGCCATTCACGAACGCGATCTACAGGGGGGCGAGAAAAGAAAAGCTCGCCCAATCGCAATAGTTTTACCGAGAAAATCTGGAGAGCTTGATCCCATCATACTTTCGTCACCCTGTGTATGGCATATGGAACACCTGTGAGATCGGCGATCAAATTGAGAAGATTTTAAGGAGAGAGAGAGAGAGAGAGAGAGGATTAAATAAGTGTGTGCCTGGAGGGAGGAGCCAGGAGGAGAGATTATTTTATATGCCCAAGCTCTTCCACACAACACTCCGCCGCGGACCAAAGGCCCGTCCCCTCGCTGGGAATCATGAGGCCGAGTCTCTTTGGACAGAAACCAATAAAGAAAACAACTCCTCCCGCCCCAATGACAGGCGGAGTTGTAAAAGCGTCCAAAGAAACACATAACGAACAGAGCAGATAGCCAAACTTAACGAAAAAACGGAAAAAAGGAAAAAAAAGAAAAGATAACACGAGAGAAAGACACACGGCTGTAATCAAACTCAAAGAACGTTTAAGAAGAGACTCCAGTATATACAATTACAAAATCCAATCCAGTTTAGCAGGAAAACCACCCCATTGTTTTGTTCTTGAGTGTGTTTTTTTTTTTCTCTCCAGCTTCTCTTCCTGCGCCTCAAGGATGGATGTCTTTGCCAATATACTCGTATGCTTTTTCCTTCTTTATTACTACTTGGCTGATATAATCAATAAAACTCCCTCTAGAGATGTTACGTATACGTATAAGTATGATGGTGGTGAGCCAAAAAAATTTGAGGAACACGGGAATGAAGATAACGTAACAAGAGAAGAGAACGAAAAAACGAAGAAAAAGAAAAAAAAAAAACAAAAACGAAACCAGGAAGAAGACCGACGAGCAGCAGTCGCAATCCCAAAAGAAAAGAAGCTTTTTTTTTTTCGCTCTCGAGGGGCGGTGGAGGTGGCCGAGTGTTGCTGAGAGAGATGTGAGTAGTGACAATGATGCAACGCAAGATCAGGGGGGGAGAGAGGGAAGAGAGTTCACCGACGGTGTACCTTCTGTTCCCCGTTTTCTCGATTTCATTTTTTCTCTCGAAGTTGATGATCGAAGAGGCGGAGGATCTGCTGCTGCTGCTGCTGCTGTTGCTTTGGATCTCTATACAGAATTGATTGATTGATTTTTGTTGCTTGTTGTTAGGCTGTGCGCGAGAAGAAGAGGACCTGTGTTGTCTCCAGTGTTGTCAAAAACGAAGAGGGTGAGAGGAGCCAACGAACGGGGGGCGGGGATGGAAGCAAGAGACAGGAAAGAAAAAGAATTTTAAACCCCCGGGATGGATGATGGCTGGATATATAGCGGCGCAGCTGCTAGAGAAGTTGATGATTCCCTGGTGTTTGATGATGGTGGTGGTGGTGGTGGTGGTGATGATTCGACCCGCCGTAGGCGTGTAGATCCGACGTCCAGCCACCGTTACTCCAGTACCCCGCAGCGTCACTCCCGCTCTCGAAGAATGCCTCGGTCGGTGACGGCTGCCACTGATCCGGCGACGAGGAATCGCCCTGTTGGTCGTAGTCACTGGACGAAACATCCCCCGAGCTCTTGCCTTTGTGGTGGTGGTGGTGGTGCTGCTTCATCTTCTCCACCCCGTGGCTCGCCTCCAAGTCCAGCAGTACGTGATGCCTCCCGCCGCCGCCGCCACCGCCGCCGCCGCCGCCGCCTTGATCCTGCTCGCTCCCATCCTCGAGCAAAGACACGAGCTTTGGCTGCTGCGGGAACCTCCACATCATCTCGCCGCTACCTCCATTGAGCCCGAAGTTCTCCACCGGCACGTAAGAGCTCAGCGCCTCGTTCATGGCCGCGTGCGTCCCCATTCCCAGCGAGCCCGGATCGAAGATAGAGTTTATGTCGCCGCCGGCATCGCCGTGAACCGGCTCCTGTTTGATCGGCGCGCCGGGGAGATTCAACCCAAGCATGCTCGGATCAAACTGCTGTGGATGGCTCCCGAGCTGTCCAGTCGCCCAGTTTATCGAGATGGGAGGCGCGCCGGAATGGCTCCCAGGGGCTCCGGGGAAAATCCTCGCCACCCCTCCCTCGACCCTGTCAAACGCCAAGCTTATCCCGTTGCTCGCCTTGGCCACTTGATCGTACAGCCCCGAGCTCGTCGCCACCGGGAATTCCTGCTGTAGCATACTGCTGCTGCTGGCACCGTCGTTCCCCACCATGGCTCCACCCCCTCCCGGAAGACCGCCGCCGCCGTTCGGCTGGCCGGTCTCGTCCGACGAGGCCGCTGGAGGACCCGAATGGTCCTGCTGCCGTTGCTTGACGCGCTTGTTCTTCCGGCACCCGCCACCCACGGGGACGTTCCTCAGCGCCCCTCCCTTGGTCCAGTAGCGCTTGCAGTTCTTGCAGAAATGCCGGGGCTGCGTGAGGCTGTAGTTGTTGTAGTAGCAAAACTTGGTGTTCATCGAGTCGCAGCGGGGGCACTTGAGGACTTGATCCGAATGCGGCTTGAGCCGCCGCTCTTGCTGGCCCGGCTGCTGGTGCTGCTGGTGCTGCTGCCCGGGCCTCGACTGGCAGAGCAACTGATCCGGAGGAGGGGGCTTCAAGCTGCTGGTGGAGGACGAGACGTCCGTGAGCGATGGCTGCGGGACGACTCCAACGCCAACTCCAACTCCTCCCACCGTGTGGAGAAGGGGCGCCTGTTGCGATCCATCAAAGCCTGACGAGTCCCCCACCTGATCCCGACCATAATTGCTCAACAGCATGACACCACCACCACCACCGGACCAAGCTCGTCCAAAATTCCTGCCTTTGATGATGCCTGGTTGTCCGATCAAGAAGCTCTCACACCCTGCGATCACAGGAGAAGAAAAACGAGAGAGACAAAACCATTAGCACAGCGGATGATGATCCAATTTTAAAGATTTTAAAGAAGCCAAGCGAGCCATGGATCTAAAAGCATGCAAAGCTCCCATGCAACCATCCTTTGGAGAAAATGCGGCATTTAGAGGAGAGTGTTCTTTACCCTGTGATGGGCGATGATCAAACTGCATGAAGATCACGATCGAGGACGCTCTTCTTCTCGTTGCCGTGCTCCTGCCCTGTGATCTCCCCCTTGAAAACTATCATTGCCCGAGAGAGGTGTGTGAGAGAGAGAGAGATCGAAGAAATTAAACCACCAATTTGCGCCTACCACTCTCCTCCTCTTCGCGAGAATTCCCTGCTGCCTTGGCTGCCCGGACAGATAATCAAATAATTCGCATACGGAATGGCGTACGGCATTGCGTCTGGGAGCCGGATTTCGCCATTGGAGCGAGCGCTTGACCGATCCCCAATCCCTGCGAGCGCAAATCGTCCCCCACTACCGATGATCAATGCGTTGACGAGAGGCCTCGCAAATCTGCGGTGCCCGCCCGGCAATGCAACAATCTTTCGCTGCTCTGCCCCGCCTGTGCAATCCCCGCGCCGAGATCCAAGATGTCTCGATCAAGAACACTGGATGGAGCTGGAGCTCGAGGACGCATCTTCATCGATCACGTCCACTTCATCGCAGAATCATAATATCCGCCACAGCCGAGCAGCACACGCAAGAGATGTGCCTGCGTGTTCTATCTAAGCCGAGGCTTTTGCTTTCTCCCCTTTCTTTTCCCTCCACACAGAGATTTCCACTCTCCCTCTCTCCTCACACGAATGCCTGTCGCATCGATCCAAGCCGAGGAGCGCCCTACCTAGCTAAGATCATCCTCGCACACGCTGAATTGGCCACGGCCGATGATCTTGGAAAGATCGACGAGAAGATCACTAAACGGCAATTCCCGACGACTCCTCCAACGATCAAGTGGGAAATCCAAGGGAGCGATGGGAAAAAGATCGCCACGGAGCTACCGGAGCGCGATATTTCGATCGATAACGATAGAAGAAGAGAGAGAGAGCGCAGCCGCCAGGCGCTACTAGGCTTTTCCTCCCTGATCCTCGATTTTCACAATGCGAGACCTAGCAGCGCCCTGGAGTAGCTCGCGCTCGCCATTTTTCTTCCCCCAAGAACCCTCTCCCACAAATCTCTAGGGTTCTTCCTGGCACACCAGACAAAGCACCAAGCTCTGGACAATGGGGCAATTTGCCCGATCCCAGCAAATGCCCTAAGGGGATTACAAAAAACCCGATCACGCCAGTGCCAGGTGTGAACACGTCTACGATAGTGTCTGGGCCGGACGCCAATGAAAGACGCCTGCTGCTGGTCTGAAGAGGGAGAGCGCGGAAGAGAACCATGCCGATGCCGTGGAGCAAATGGGAGCGTTGGATCTCGACGCGGGAGATTGCACGAGAACGAATGGACGAGGGAGAGGGCAGGCGTGGGCTGATGCCGGTCGTTGGATGCGACACATCGGGGCCGTCGGGTGTGGAGGATATTTGGGCCTGGGACACGCGTCAGCCGCTGAGAGGCAGCGTGCGAGAGGGCCCGGTTCCCCAGGCCCCGACACCGCATTATCTCGCGACGCACACATACACACACAAATATCGTACGGTAAATTTCGGCAACAAAAGAAAAATGGTTTATAAAGTTTAAAAATGCGAAACAGAAATTCAGAAATGCATGTGTCTGGAAATAAATAAAGGTTTTTTAAGCTGGCGGGAAATTGTTTTTCTACAATGGAATGTTGTGTTGGAGCGGGCGATGGTGGGGTGTGGGCCGCCACCGCGAGCGTACACGCGTCATGCAGGCCACTCCCGGCCGTACAGTTATCCCCCGCATATTTTTTAGGGTTCTTCCGTGGCTCCGGAGAACGCAGGTGAAGGCTTTGAATTTTGGTCTACTTCCCATCGTCACATTGACTTCCAGGTCGTGAAACAGATTTTCTTCCAGCTGAATCCCAAAAGGACGGTTACCTGTAACCCCAAGGCAATAAGAAACAAAAGACCAGAGAATTCATCCTTGAAGAGCCTCGTCTCCGGTGAAGCCTAAGTAAAAGCAAGCTTTGACAATAAAGAGTCTATTTCACTAGATTCAACGTGCACGCGTTAAAATGTTTTGTAGCTCAGCTGGCCAGGTGAGTTGGATTGCTCCAAGATACCATTTGTGTTTTACGGGTCTCAAGGTTGTGACATCAGGTGGAAAAACCACATTTTTTTCAAGGAACGCAAAGCTTTCCTTGAAAGATAGGCAAGTTTGTGCCTTTACAAATTACAAAAGAAAAGAAAAAACAAACTATTAGGAGAGTCTGCTACTTCCTTTTGAGAGGTTTTCTCCATTTGGATAGCTTATGTTGTAATAATTTGTAGATCCAGATTCTGAAGTCCTATAATTTTGATAGTATTGTTAGAATTTTGGCTATCACCGCCAAGCTTTTTTACAAAGGATAACTCTGACTTGGCAGTTCTTGCCGAGTATACGATCCTCTAACAATAGTAGCAGCAGCACAAGGGGCACCTAGGGCCTGCAGCATAGTTGTGCAATATAGTAGCTTATAGCACACAACGTTCTTCGCAAATGCTTTGCTAGGATCCACGATCATTGCAGGGCATGTCGGGGTGTGCAGGAGGTTGCTGCGCTGCCATTATAAACAATTGCATAGGCATATGTTGCTCTTTTCTGTAGATTTTGGTCTATCACTCCACTGCCAATCCAAGCAGAATGATCTGGGGGCACATATTCTTCCTGGAGTCGTGGTGACTATCAAACTATCCTTCTTTCTGTTGTGCACACAAAACAAAAGAATGGGGTATTGTTTTAGATGTTCAGGATGATAATTTGCCTCTGCCTATCGTTGTCATTACATTAGCTTCTTAATTCAGATTTTCATCAGACTAGTTATTTAAAATTGATGTCAATCCAAAATATGTTCTAATATTGTAATTTTGATTATTTTTAACGTCAAGTAAAAATAAAATTTCAACCATTATATAAAAATAACATTACTTGTATTAAATTTTAGTTATATTACTACTATAATTTTTATAGGTAATAATAAGAAAATAATCTTTACAATTTTAAAAAGTACAAAAATTTTATTTAGTTAGTTTATTGAAACTTTGAAGTTTTTTGATAAACCCATTTTCTATTGACCCAATCATATTGATTTCTTTATGTTCTCACTAACAAATTGCATCCTCAATTACAAAAAACTTGAAGCTATGTATCAAAATATATTAAAATTATGATAATAAATAGATATTAATTTAACTTTAGAAAAAATATTTTTTAATTTATAGAAATTCTATAAATTCTATATTATTAAATAAATATAGTTAGCATATCTAACATTTACTATTAAAATGATTAAATAGTCTTCAAAATGTCAATAAAATGAATATTTTAGAACTCTAACATAAAAGTTAAATTCTATAAATAAAAATTTATTATAGTGATTATATTTATAAAATTCATCCTCTTTGAATCATTGAGCAATAGTTTCAATCTAGAGTAAATAATTGCATAACAATAAAGCTTGCTGTGGTGAGTTTCAATGTCAACTTGAACTAAATATTCATCTCTTTTAAGAAAAAATATTATTTCTATATATAGTAATTTATTTTGAAAATATTGTGATATCTGTGATATATATATGTATTTATGTATGTATGTATGTGTGTGTATATATATATATGTGTGTGTGTGTGTGTGTGTGTGTGTATGTGTGTATATATATATGTATGTATGTATATATGTATATATGTATTACCCTACCTAGGTAATACACTAATTATCAAGCAACAGATCATTGGCACCAAGTGTTTGGGAGAATAATTAGCTCTCACAGCTCTAGTTTGTAGTGCTCCATCAGCAGGAAGAGAAACTCCAGTAGCAAGTTGGTCATGTCCACGTAACTCTTATCCATCCATTTTCGTATATAAATAAGAGTTTAAATCATAATTGATATATGGATATTGCAATTTGTTTTTGGTGGGCAAACTTTTTTGGTAGTGCTTTACTCTAGTGTTTGGGATTGCACTTTTATTCTTATTATTTTCTTTCTTTTTTAGATCTAGATTTACATTAACTTTTTGGCAGATTTCTAGCTATCATTTTGATTAAATTTGTTTTCTCTTTTGATCTTTATTGCATTTTTATCTTCTACTATGTCATGCCGTCATTGATTAAAGAATATATCACTTAAGTTTGTTGATACTACTCTATTGAATTAAGATTTTGATGTTGTGGGGTGCAATTATATTGATGTTACACCCATCTAATATGTTGTTGCCTACAACTTTCATTATAGAAGTTATCCTATTCTTAATGTTCTACCATTTTCCATTGATGTGGGGCATGCTTGTGACATTGATTGACAAGTTATGGATGATGTAGTTTAATTTTTGGAGAATGTTTAAAGATCAAGTTTATATAATAATGATGTTTACACACCCAAATGTTTTTGGATTGTGATGAGGAACTTGATTATTATACAGATAATTTTGGAGAAAAGTTGTGTCAGGAATCCCCCAATTCTTGCTACATTCCTAACTCTCGCTGGATTCCTGACCTGTAGACCACATTCCTGACTCTTGAGACACTTCCCTATTCCTAACTCTCAAGACACTTCTCTATTCCTGACTCTTGAGACACTTCCCTATTCCTGAGTCTCAAGTCACATTCCTGATGATGATGTGGCGCCTCCTCGACCTCAGCTATATTTAGGTCATCCTCGATCCAAGAGTGGTGGAGCTTCATCAACCTATAGTATATATAGGTTAGCTTTGTTCCATTTTTCCACAATCTGAATCAATACCAGTTTAAAGCTTGCCGATGGAGTCTCCAAGCCATCCTGATTTCTTTGCCGAAGTCCTTGCAAAAATCTAGTCTGAGAATACCGAGCTGAAGGCGACCCTTCTTTGCATGTAGCAAGAGCTTGCTTCACTTTCAGCTCAAGGATCCAGCAAAGTTCTTGAACCGAAGGTGAGTTTCCCGGCAAAATTTTCAGGCAAGCGTTTGGAGCTTTGTAAATTTCTAAACCAGATGGAGCTGATCTTTGCACTTCAACATCGGTAGTACCCCACTCCTGAGTCTCAAATCGGCGCGATTGGGACGTTGCTCAAAAATGCAACTTTGTCATGGTTTTCTCCTCTTCTGGAGAAGAGCATGAAAGGGGTCGTGGTTCCGGAGCTGATGGATCTTCAATTGTTCAAAGAGAAGTTTGAAGCATGTTTTGGCGAGATGGATCGGGTTCAGGCTGTTACCACAAAGATGAGACGTCTCTCTCAAGGGTCTCGTCCTGCCTTGATTTACGCTTCAGAGTTCCAACTCCTTGCCTTGGACACTCAGTGGGATGAGCAGGCCTTGATTGACCAATTTCGTTTTGGCCTCAACAATGGTGTCAAGGATTTGTTACTCACCATGGAGGATCCCAAGGACCTATCGGACGCCATCAACAAAGCTATTCGATGTGACAATCGTCTCTTTGAACGTTGTCAGGAAAGTCGCCGCGCCGTTGTTTTTCCGTCCCAGACTCAGGAATCCTAGCTTGAGTCTTTGGGGCATCCTCCTGAACCTACTGCTCCGGTCCCGATGGATATTTTTGGTACTCCCCGACTCATTAGAGGGAAGTTGAGTCCTGCTAAGAAGCAACGTCGAATATCTCATAATCTTTGCCTCTACTGTGCTGATCCTAATCACAAAGCAGCTGTGTGTCCCAAGAAGCCTCCCCGATTGCTCGAGTTCACTCTGCCTCAAAGTCCACCTCTGTTGCAGTCGGGAAACGACCCTATCCAAACAGAGTAGGAGCTGTCTGTTTGGACTCCTCGAATAAAAATCACTTTTCTTCTTTATCAAGCTCCTCACCACTTTTCATCAAAGCCACCACCAATTCCCGCAATTTCCAAGTCCCATGTCTCCTTTCTTTCACCAGACAATCAAGACTCAAGGCTCTAGCGCTACTAGATTCGGGTGCAACTTCCTGCTTCATGGATACGGACTTTGCTGCCCGACATCACATTCCTCTTTCTCCTACCATACGGGATTTGAGGGTTGAAGGCATCGGCGGGCATTTTGTGTCTTTATCTTCTGGACTTAGGGAAATGTTGCCTGTTCAAGTACACATTAGGTCCACCGTCATCGATATCGCCTTCAACATCATCAACAGCAAGTCCTCCTCCGTGGTGCTCGGTCTTCCTTGGTTCCAACTACATCAGCCTCAGATCTGTTGGAAGGAATTACAGCTC